TGTAATACTCCAAGGTCTGGAATTCGATAAGATCGGCCACGATGTACTCCGTCTGTACAGTATACATTTACTGTTGACTTTGCTAAAAAAGCGCAATAAAACATTGTGACCAATCATGACAGTCGCATAATGCCACCGACCATCGAGTCGCGCCACCCGAATTGGGTGTGATCCCAGCATGCGAATGTCGCCAACCAACCCGCGAGTGCGAGCTCGGAAATTTCTCGTGAACTGTGCTTGGAATTGCCCGGCCAATACGCGCTTGCCAGGGCGATCAGACGTAATCATGACGGACCGGGGGGCGACAGCCAGCTGGTACCCCCGTCCACCTGGCACTTTTGTATGCGCGCTGATCTGGGCATGAATCCGTACCCCCTTTTCATCCATTCTGTCTTATTATTTCGGTCCTATTCTAATCCTCGTGTCAAGAACATGCGAGGCGTTTTCCATATTTTATAACCAACGACGTAAATATTCAGGCTTTCCGCGTGACACGAACGGGTCCGTCCCGAATACGAAAACACGACCCACGGTCCCTCAATCACCATTAACCAATGCACATTTCGAAAATGTTTTTCTTAAATGGTTTTTTTTTACCTTCGTGAAAGTGTGTGATTGGTTAACGAAACCGCTCAGGCGAGTCGTCATAATTTCGTTACGTTAAGCCCTTTTCGTGAGACCACGAAAAGGGTTTTTCAAATTATATGATTTGCGCGATTTGAGCCTTCACTGCTTGCGGAAGGTCGAGAACGAGGTGTTACTTCTATTTTCCGCGGTAATTCTGACCAGACGACAAATTTGCTGAAAGTTTTTTAAGAAGCCACGTGAACCCTCACATGACACGTGGCGAAGTCGCTGGTAACCTGGCCCAAGGGCCAATACGCCAAGGCACCCATCGTGAACAGAAAGAGTAAAATGGCCTACGCCACCCCACCTAAAACCGTACGTGCTACTCGATAATCCATTTTGCCCGTAGTGAACCGCTCTTATTCGTCGTAGTCCATATTTGCGAGTCGCGGATTTGGAGCATAGAGCATACCCGCTGTACCTAGATTACCAAAATGGAGTGTGCCCAGTATGCCGAAGAGGCACCAGATCTTGGGCGGGGAAGACTGCCCTGACGATCCCGACGAGCTGCGATACGTCAAGATGATGGCGGTGGAGGAAGACGCAAGCAAGGGCACGAGATCCAGCATCCTACGCTACGTTAGCACACCGTCTCCTACTGCCACGGAGGAAGGACAGCGCCGACCCAATCCTCCGCCGGTTGCGACGAAGAAACCGACAACCTTCATCCAGCTCGCTCGCGCATCGACAGTAGACTTAGACGACGAAGTTGCGAGAACGCTGAAGGGGAGAAGGATGGCGACGAGGACTATGACGCGATGTCGGGTGGAGAGAGCAAGCCGGAGCTTACAAACCTGCCGATCAAACGGTTCCGCCGTGCTGCCCCTACAAAAGCCACGAGGTACGATGATGTGGCGACTGCCAAAGGTGTGGCGACCGCCAAAGGTTTGGCGATCAAGGCAAAATTGTCGTGGTCATTTAAGGAGACTACCATTCTCGCCGTAGGTCGTTGGTTCACGCGCGTAGATAATAAGCACATGTTGGGCAAGCAAGGCATGCAGTATTCGGAGAAGCTTGCACAGCACCTCCACCGCGAGCATCCTTGGTGGGTGCGCTCCGGTGCCGTGTGTAAGAGCTTTGGCGCAATACCTGCAAGGATGCCAAGGCGTCCGGCAGTGGCGCTGTGCAGAAGCCGCCGTGGTGGAAGTATGCGAACCTTGCCATGAAAGATTATGCGAGTGTGAGGTGGCACCTCGTGGACAGCAGTGGCGCAAGCAACTTGACAATGGACCCCGCGACCCCCCTCTCGGGTTTAACTGCTGCGTGACCATGCACGCATCCAAATCCTGGGGAGTTGCTTGTAGTGAGGAGGACCCTTATGGGTCGCACGCCATCGTGAAGCGACGGGACTTTGTTTCGCCCAACATACCTTTCCAATACGATTTAAAAATTATTACATGGTCATACAATGAAGCCACTATACGCATTCTAACGCCCTAGCACCCTACCAAACCCGCATCCCCCCCACCCAACAAACGTTAGTGCGCCGGTCCGCCCCACTCTCCAGCGTCGCCGCATGAACGAGACCGCAAGGATTGCCGGGGCACACATCCTCGCGTCAAGAACTCGGGACTGTCATGCTGGCGGGATGCGGCGCATCGAGCTCCTCTTCGCCCAGTGGATGGCGCAGCCTGGCGGGGAAGGCCGTCATGAGGGGACACCATGTCGTACTTCAAGGTGTGCTTCCACGAGTCCAAGCGTGGTGTACAGCGGTGGTGTGAACGCCCCCCCCCCCCCCCTTCCCCCCCCTTGCGTCCGACGCCAATGCGAACGCGTGCGTTGCCCAATAGGACAGCATCTGCCCACCATGGCGTGGGCATTTGTAGCAGGGGGTTCCACCTCATAATGAATGCACGCTGTCTGATTTTCGCCACACTTGTCACCATGTTATGCAGGACGACGGAGCAGGAGGCGTTGGCGAGGACCCGCCAAAGGCGGCTCGTGTTCCGCCCACCGAAGAGGCACCACCTCCCTTGGAAGTCGTCGAAGGCTCGCTCGATACACATGCGTGTGGAAGACTGACCATAATTGTATGTTTGTTGCCACTCGGTAAATAATTGCCATCAGAGCTCTCGCTGGACTCTAGGCACTTTCTAGGCCATGAGACGACCCCTTCGGGCGTGTCTAATGATGATTCGACCAAATTTTCAGTTTCTAAAAAATCAGACGAATCGTAGTGCATTTTCTAAAATTTCAGAACTTCCTTATTTCAATTTCTAGGCTAACCTACAAGGGCCATATTAGCCTCCACTTCCCAATATTTGAGTCCGTTTCCGAGTGCCCGAAGTCCTTGGGCAGCTTGGGCGTGCACGAAAGAATGTTTGGCGGTTCAATGTCGCGAGAGGTTTTGATTGGTGGAATGACTGCCAACACGATGAATCAGGCCTGCGGGAGCGGGAAAAGGGGAGGGCCCTAGCGAGAACCCTGTCTGGGGGGGGAGGGGGAGGAGGTGGGGGGGGGATTGAAATTGAAGAGGGCGGGCGGGAGGCAAGGCCCTCGCAAGTTGCGTTTGTTAGAATGCTAGCTTAGCTAGGAAGCTAGGAAAGGCTTGAGTTTTAGCTAGGAGGAGCCATGGATTGGCGTGAGGTTTAGGAAGGAGAAAAGTTGAGGAGAGAAAAAGGAAGTTAGGAAAGAAAAGAGGGGGATACAAGGAGGGGTGTTGTACCCCCTACAGTAATGTTCAGTAACATCTAATCTACCAAGCCTACACATTATATAACTCAATATATAATTTTAACACACCCCCTAGGCTTGGTAGTCACATGCCCACACACACCCACACCCCCTAACCTAGCACCCCCATTCCAAGCATCAGCCACGTCTACTCCGGTGGGGCCAGCCCCCACGGCCCGTGAGATGGCGATGGCGGCAACCACGACAGTGACGAGAGCGGCGGCGGCGGCGGCGTGCGGCGGCAACGGCCTGCGGCAACGGCGGCGGTGGCGGCGACTTCAACATCAGAGGCGACTGCAGCGGCCCCCGCCCTTTCGGCGGCATGGCCAGTCTCGACGGCGATGGGGGCCCCCACGCGCCAGGCGTCGGCTGTTGCGAGGAGGGGACGCAGGGGAAGGAGGGCATCTGGCGTGCGGGCGGTGGCGACGTTACAGGCGTCGCGCGGTCGGCTGCGGCCCGACGGCGCCGTCACAGAGCGGCGTCGATGCCGCAGCGGGACGTCGACGCTGCGACGGCAGCGCGACGGCCCGACACCACGGCAGCGCGTCGAGACGGCCGCGGCACGACGCGGCCAGCGACATCACGACGCCGCCACTGCAGCAAAACGCGGCCGCCATGGCCGCGCGAGCGAACGAGGGTGAGGAGTACGCGGCGGAAGCGTGAGGAGGCGGTCCAGCAGAGAGGAACTGCTCTGATACCATGTTAGAATGCTAGCTTAGCTAGGAAGCTAGGAAAGGCTTGAGGTTTAGCTAGGAGGAGCCATGGAGTGGCGTGAGGTTTAGGAAGGAGAAAAGTTGAGGAGAGAAAAAGGAAGTTAGGAAAGAAGCGAGGGGGATACAAGGAGGGGTGTTGTACCCCCTACAGTAATGTTCAGTAACATCTAATCTACCAAGCCTACGCATTATATAACTCAATATATAATTTTAGCAGCGTTCAATCACGCACATTGGTTGGTGAGGGTCAGCCAGAGCCAGCCCCCCTCAGGCGAGGCGATCCCCCCTCCCCCACACGAATTAGCTAAGGGTCAACTAGCGCCCTCACACAGACTGCAACACGCTTTGGGTTGTAAGGGCGCTAATTGGCCCTTACACAAAATTTCTACATGAGGCGAAAATTTTGGTGAAGTCCCTGTTGGCGCCACTCACACCCCCTCAAGTAGGTATCGGGTGGTGAATTTGTCGAAGGACCAATCAAGATCCTCATGCAACCTACAGAGATCCGTTTCATATGAGAAATTTCGCTAAGTCTGTAATACCATAAGAACGCGTACACCCATTGTGAAATATCGGGATACAAAAGCACTTTCTAGGGCATCAGAAATTCAATAATTGGTTTTCTAAAAAATTAGATGAACGCCTAAAAAAAAGTATGAAAATCTTACAAACAGCCGGATTTTGTCTGATGTCGAGGTCCCTGATTGCCCTATTTGCGCTCCTATAACGTTCTATCATGAAGATCCTACCGTGTCTATATTATCACATCCGTAGTGATCCCTTAACAAGAGAGCACAGTTTCTGCATTCTCAATGTAATATTTGATATTTGATAATAATTTACAGAATGATAAGCTAGCAACTTTCCACAAAATAGCAAACTGACTATTCGAAGCAGACATATCTATAGCGAGGACTCAGACACTCAGACCTGAAGTGGCCTTTCCTTTCCCTTGACCTCACGTTCACCATAATCTGAAAACCAGTCTGCTGGAGCTTCTTCAAGGTCCACCTGATAGTGGTTTTACTTCCTCCTCCTGATACTTCGTCGCGGTGTCCCTTATCGAAAACGAGTTCCAGGTTGTGCAGCCCTCCACTCGTGTCCCAGCTGAACAACGGTTGAGTCAGTTCTTGAGTCAGTTTCTGCAACTTCTCTCCCCTGACGCCAGCTTTATCAGGATTCGCCCGCTACCATGCTGTTCGCGCGACTTGATGACTCCCCTATGTTTCGCCGGCAGGTCTGTGCACCGTGTCAATTCTTCGCGTCCTTGTCAAGATGCGCTTATCTGATCCCATTACGAGATTTGACGCGCTATTTTGCGGTGTCGGGTTGGTGCACTTCCCAGTCCTTTCTCTGGCCCCAATTGCCGTGTCTAAGCCGCCAAACTCGCGCCTCACGGCATCGCGTTCCATCGCCGTCCTCACATAGTGTAGTGACCGTTGTCTTTTACGATTCCTAGTTCACGTAACTCGCTCCCAGCCATCTACTCGTGCCCCAATTTTGCAATCCTTCGTCATACGTGTCGCCTCCTGCACCTCGCCCCGCTCTCACATATTCCCCTCGCGCGCTGGCCATGGGCGTCTTGCCGGCTCATCCGCGTTGTGCGTCACCAGCTGCAGGCGTTGGAGGAGAGCGCGGAAATGCTGCGGGAGCGGTGCAACAAGCTGCACAAGAGCTGCCGGAAGTACAGGTGCCTGCTGTGCTGCTGTGCCGTGCCTTGCGCTGTGCCTTGTGCTTGCCTCACATCCCCATGTCTCCATGCCTCATTTCCCCCTTCAAATGGTTGCTTACTTCGCTGCATTGCTCTGACGTCCCGTCTCTCCTAGGTCTTCTAGGCCGTCTTACCTCCCCCTCTTCTCCTCGACGTCTGCCTGCTCAACCTGCCCCACCGCATGCCCCCCAACGTGCCGTATCATCCCTGTTATGAGGGCGCACGTCGCCATGTATGGCATGGGACATGGCATGGGGTATGTTGGGGCATGGTGCATGGCATGTGGCATGGCGTGTGAGCAGTGACAGCTTGGTGGAGGCGCGGGATGCGGAGCTGGCGTTTGCGAGTGCCATAGACGGGTTCGCCAGCAGCCATGAGGACTCGCTCAGCGTGTCCATCGGAGGTATGGCCCGCTCCCGTGCGCTGCCATGTGCACGGGCTGCTGCCATGTGTACGGGCTGCTGCCATGTGCACGAGCTGGTGGGCATCCACCTCGACTTGTTCCTTTGTGGCTGTGAACTGCTTGCTGCATGAGCTCACAACCGCCGGGCCATTCATGCCTGTGTGCTGTCGCCGCTGGTAGCTGCGCCTTCTTACCACGTGCCGACGTGCTCTTTGTGTTGCCTCCCTTCTCCTCGCCACGTGTTTGTGTGTGCGTGGAGTGGGCATGGTGCGGCAGGGCCGGTGCTGTCGCCGTTCATTGACGCGCTCAAGGAGCTCAGGTCGCACAAGGACGTCCTCAAATCGCAGGTGCTCCTCGCCCCCACCCCTCTCCAGCCCCATTCCTCTCCCTCTCCCTCTCCCTCTCCTTCTCTTTCTCGCTCCCCCTACCTATCAGTCTCCCCTGATTCCTTGTAACCTGACACACTTCCCCCCCATACCCTGCAAAACCAATACCCGCTCTGCTCTCTCTATGCGGTCATGAGGTACGACGCCCTTCTGCTCACTTACGTAACGTTCGCCTTTCTCTCTCTATGCGCATGTGTGGGGGTGTGCGTGTGTGTGAGTGTGTGTGAGGGTGTGCAGGTGGAGCACATGCTGATAGATCGTCTGGCCAAGTTCAAGGACACGGACCTGCACAACCTCAAGGTCGCCCCCGCTGCACGCGTGCATGCCACACCGCTGCATGCCTCATGACGCATGCTGCACACACACCCAAGCCCCACCACCACAAACAATTTCTTCCATGCTTTCCTGCATGCTCTTATTTAGTATGTACTGAGTAGCCCCCCTTCCACCCTCCCCCGCAACTCCTCTACCCCTCCTCCCTCCCCCCCACATTCTCGTCCGTCCACCCTGTGGCAGGAGGTTCGGAAGCGCTTTGACAAGGCAAGCCAGCAGTACGACCAGGTGTGTGTGTGTGCTGCCTCAGCAACACACTTACCCATGGAATCGCCTCACATCACTTACCTTCATGCCATCATGCCACTTCTTTCTACCTCCCTTTATGCTCGTTTGAACCGCCTATGCGTTCCATTTCTCCATGCTGATTCGATTTTGCGTGACAGTACTCTGCCGTGCCAATCACCACCTGGACACACCTGCATTCCCATGCCCCCTAACGCCCACCACTCCCCCTCTCCTCTCTTTCCCCCTCACCTCCGTGCGTGTGCTGTGCTGTGCTGTGCTGTGCTGTGCTGTGCTGTGCTGTGCTGTGCAGATGCGTGAGCGCTTTCTGTCGATGAAGAAGGACACGCGCGCGGAGGTGATGGGCGAGGCGGAGGAGGACTTCCAGACGGCGCGCATGCACTATGAGAAGGCCCGCTTCGCCCTCGTACCGCCGCCTCGCCCTTACACTTCAACTCCCTGCCCTCCTGCTGCATGCTGCATGGCCCGCCACCCTATCTTCTCTGCATGAGGGCCCCGCTCTGAGTTACCAGCAGAGCACTGTGCGCATTGCTTGAACAACAGAAAGCAGCATCAGCAGGCCAGTCCCAGTGAACGGCTATCTTGCGCAATTCCGCTACACTGCCCTGCGCACTTGTGCATAGTGCTTGTCAGAGCCACCCCCCCTTCGCCCCCCCCGCCCCCTCCCCCCCCCTCCCATGCATGACAGGTGTCAGCGCTGTCGAGCATTGACTCGCGGAAGAAGTTTGAGTTCATCGAGTCCATCGCCTCCTCCATGGATGCGCACCTCAGGTTCTACAAACAGGTGCGCCCCACCTCTGCCCCTCCACCACGTGCCATCTTTTGAGTCGACTCAAAAGTCACCACATGCCATCATCTGCAGCATCGGTGCCTCTGCATCATAGCGTGCCCCATCCATGCCTGCATGTGTACTGCTCATGTGTGAGCGTGCATGCTTGGTTGCGTCGCGTACTGCATGCCGGCACTTGCATGCGGTGTTGCCTTCCTTCATCCTCCCTCCCTGGCCCGCCTCCCCCCCACTACCTGCCTCGTCCCCATCACACCGTGCCATTCGTCCGTCTCACCCCCCAATCATGCTTCACTCGTAAGCCCTTCTCATCCCTGCCTACCCCCTTCCTCCTCCCCTCCCCCATGTGCCATGCCACGCCATGCCATGCCATCAGAGCTACGAAGTGCTGCATGCCCTCGAGCCCTACATTCATCAGGTACCTCCTTCCCACATGCACTCTCCACTTAGCTCCTTTCATGCCTCCCCTCCCACGCCGTGCTCTGCTTCCGCCCTTCCCCACTCCCCCCATCCACCCACGTCCACCCCACCATCTCCCCTGCCACCTCCCGCCGTGTTGCCACTGCGCGGTGCGGCGCATGTGTGCAGGTGCTGGTGTACGCGCAGCAGGCGCGGGAGCGCGGCAGTGAGGAGCAGGCGGTGCTGGGAGAGCGCATGGGCGAGTACCAGCGCGACAAGGAGATGGAGCTCGCCCGCGGGGATGAGAGCGCGCAGGCCGCGGAGAGGATCGGTGGGGGAGGGGGCGGGGGGGGGCCGTACCAGGCGCTGCTGGGGACGAGTGGCAGCAACTCGCAGCTCAAGGCCATCGAGCAGCTCATGGCGTCCACACCCAAGGGCAAGGTGGGGGAAGGGGGGGGGGAAGGGAGGAGGGAAGGGGGGGAGGGGGGGGAAGGGGGGGGGAAGGGGGGGGGAAGGGGGGGGAAGGGGGGGGGGAAGGGGGGGAAGGGGGGGAAGGGGGGGGAAGGGGGGGGGAAGGGGCGGGGAAAGGGGGGGGAAGGGGGGGGGAGGCGGACATGGCTTTAGACTTGTGAACAGTGAACTCATGTGATTGTCTGCAGATGTATGATAGGGAATGGATGTCCATATGTAGAGCGCATGGTTGTGTGGAATGACATACGTGTGCGTGTGTTGCGGCGTGCATGGGGTTGCATTGCAGGTGCAAGTGATCCGGCAGGGCTATCTCTTGAAGCGCTCCTCCAACCTGCGGGCGGACTGGAAGCGGCGCTTCTTTGTGCTCGACTCGCGCGGCATGCTCTACTACTACCGCAAGCAGCACACCAAGCCCTCCGTACGCCGCACTTCCTCACCTTCTCCTGTACCATTCCTTCTCCTGCATCGTCAACCATCAATCTCGTTGGAATCTCACATTTTTTCCATTCCCACACACACGCGTGGCCCCTCTCCCCCTGCCCCCTGTGCCCCCAGCAGGGCATGTTTCAGCTGCAGGGTCTGCTGCACGCGCGCTCGTCCACGCCTGACTCCAACCCCAGCCCCGGCATGCCGCCCCTCTCCATCTTCTCCCGCATGCTCGCCCGCGACCGAGACGCCCCCACCGGAGGGGGCAGCAACGGTGCAGGGGGGCAGGGGGGAGTGCGGTCGGCGAGCTTTGGCAGCCTCATAGGGGACGCACCGTTGTCGCTGGAGAGTTTCCTTGGTTCGGGCGCTGCCGGGGGTTTCTCCCTGCGCCCCTCCCACTCCGCCTCCAACTCCAACTCCTCCACCCCCGCCTCCTCCCCACCCCGCGACTTCGGTGGCTATGTCTCGTCTCTCCCCCCCTCCATCTCCCAGGCAGGAGGGGGAGGGGACGATGGAGGGGGGGGAGGGGGCGCGGGAGGGGGGGGGGGGTCGGTGTCGAACCACGTGCTGAACCTGCTGACAGCGACGATCAAGATGGATGCGGAGCAGTCGGACCTGCGGTTCTGCTTCCGGATCATATCGCCCGTGAAGACGTACACACTGCAGGCGGAGAATGCAGCGGAGCGTAGCGAGTGGATGGACACCATCACCGCTGTCATCGCCACCCTGCTCAACCAACAAATCTCCAACCCGGTACCACCTGCATCGCACCTCACTTCTCTGCACTACACATTACATCACCCTCACCACACTGTACCCTACCTCCTGTTACCTGACGTCGCTGTGCTAAACGTGCAGCTTTTCTCTTGTACCCATACTCTTTCTGCTTTCCGTCTTGCCTGCGCCCCACCTCACATCCGCCCCCAACCCTTCCGTGCCCGTCCCCTTCCCCGCCAGGCGCCCTCCTCCTCGCTCACCACCAGCGGCTCCTACCTGTCCAACGACCCCTCCGCCTCGTGGCAGCACGCACGGGTGTCGGACGGAGCGGCGGCGGACACGTCGTCGTCGAGCGCCACGGCAGCAGCGCACGTGGACCGGCCGCTGCAGCTGCTGACGCACGTGGCGGGCAACCGCTGCTGCGTGGACTGCGGGGCGCCCGACCCTGACTGGGCGTCGCTCAACCTGGGTGTGCTCATGTGCATCGAGTGCTCGGGCGTGCACCGGAACCTGGGCGTGCACGTCAGCAAGGTGGGAGCACAGCTGCTGCTGGTCGCTCTCCTTCCACTTGTTCACGACTCCCCGAGCTCATCTCACCCTTGTTTCCACATCTGCTGCACTGCATTCTCAGCCTTACACCCTCTCCTGCTGCCTTCTCCTCTATCTTCTGCCTGCCTTCCCTCCCCTCAACCACCCTCGCCCCTTGCTCTCCCCAGGTGCGGTCTTTGACTCTGGATGTTCGGGTGTGGGAGGCGCCAGTGATAGCGCTGTTCAAGGCGTTGGGGAACGAGTTTGCTAACACGGTGTGGGAGGAGATCCTGCAGCGCCGCAGCACGTGTGCAATAGATGAGCAGAGCGAGAGTGCAGAGTTGGGCTCGGACGCACCGTGTGAGTCCACAGGCCAGCAGCAGCAAGGGCGTGCATCAGGGCAACCGCAGGGCGCCCATGGTACCCCAAATTCCTCCTCTCTGTGTGCAGCAGAAGGAGGCAAGCCGTCTCCAGGCGATCCCGTGGCAATGAAGGAACGGTTTATCCAGGCCAAGGTATGCTTCACGTGCATGTGGGCCTTTGGGCTTCGTCCCATGCAGTTTGAAGGGTGGAGGGGACCTTCTCCATGTGTGCTTTCCTGGGCCTGAGTATGAGCTCCATGTCATGCACAATGGAAAAGGGTTGCCTCACATTTCTTTCACCCTCCCACCGCCCTCCCACTGCCCCCCTCCCAGTATGTAGAGCGCAGGTTTCTAGTGTCCGGCACGCAGCAGTACGGTGGCAGGGAGCAAGCAGAGGAGCAACTGTGGCAGTCGGTGTGGGATGGGGACCTGCAGCAGGCAGCCAGAATACTGTTCAATGCAGGCCTTGATGTCAACATGACACGCAGAGAAGGGGGAGCAGGTAAGAGTGTGGGACCAAGGGAGTGCAGCAGAGATGAATGGACCGCTGTAGGTGTTCCTCCTTCTTGCCCTCTATTGCTTGCGCTCATTTTCAAAACGTGACGTAACCCTCATGTACTGCTGTGCATATGGCATTGAACGTAACATCATTATCATAACGTCAGTCGTAGGATTTGGAGTCTGTATGCCATCACTTCCTGTTCCCTGCACCATCCCCATCCCAAGCAGCAAGTCAGAGTCATGGAGGCCCATCCATCTGCTGCTACCTCCCCAGCAGCCACAAGCAACGCAACTCATCCACTGCCTCACATTCTTCTGCTGTCAACACCATGAGAGGGCCCCATATGGACCAACGCAGGGACAGCACAAATTCTGACTCCACGCTAGCCAGTTCTTCCACTAATGCTCTGGCTCGTGGGGAGGCGGAGCAAGAGGATGCTTCATATGGGTGTCGTTTGCTGCATGTGGCATGTTACCGAGGGGACACAGCAGCAGTGGAGCTGTTGCTGCAGCAGTCGGCTGATGTGAATGCAAAGGATGCAATGGGACGGACATCTCTGCATTGGTGCCTCTTGCTTGGCGTCTCTGTCTGCGCTAAGCAATTAATAGCCAGGTTGGACGCACTGATCTCTCTCGTAAACCCGTCTCTGTCTCGTAGTTTTCTAGCAACATTTCTTGCCTCGTGTTCTTTTATCAGCCAGCTACCCCCTTTTCCTGTCTTGCTTCGTGTGTGCATGCAGGGGGGCAACTGTCTCTCTGCGGGACTCGTATGGGCAAACACCATTGGAGGCGGTGATGGAGCAAGGTGGAGCCATTACTGATAATGATCTGCTGCTTATTTTGGCCCAAAGCCAATAAGGGCTAGGTGTAGCGCACTGTGGGCCAGAGGCACCAGCTCTGCTGTTCATGCAATGCTCACAGGGTGCAATCAGGTTCTCATGATGAGCTTCCAGATGAACTGCCAATTGTCTGAGGTTTACAACTTCATGCTTCTCTACACCTTAAAGAAAGAAATGCTTGCTAATTGTCCCAGTTTACAAGGTGACAAAAACCACTGTGTAACCCAATGCAACGAATGAAGACCTGTACACGAGGAATCAGTTCTCTGCAGCTTGTGATCAACCATATGGAACTGATGAGCTTACACCTGCCAATGCCAAGGAAAGATATACAAAGAATGAGTGCTGAGTGACTGAGTCTAGCATGAATGGAGTTATTGCTGAGGACGTGCTTAGCATAGTAGTGCACCTGTCATTGCCGGCTGATGTGTTGGATAATTAGAAGCTCCTCAAGTGTCATCTTCTTCTGCTTCAGGTACTCCTCCACAGTCATCTGTGCCACTTCTTCAGGAAGCTGCACACGTTGGTATTCGACAATGAGTATAATTTACTATGCCAGGAAACGGAATGCTCGTATCCATCGCTCACCGAGTTTATCTGTGCTTCTGTCTGCTCTGTGATCATCCTCGCCTTTTCCCTGAAGGATTCCCGCATAGCTTCTATCCGCGCGTTGGCTGCCAAGACCAGTGTCGTAAGTTGGTCAGTCGAGTTCAGACGGGCGTCTGAGAAGTTTCAGCATGGTTGCTGCATCCATACCTTCTGTTTCAATCTCATTCCACATTTGGGTTGACACCTTGCTTCCCAGATTCACAGCATTCGGAGTCGCGGCATTGACGCTTCTGTCCCCTAAGGGTGCACGTGATCTCTTGGGTCTCGTCATTTGGAACGACGTAAGGTAGCGACGCAAAAAAAGATACTGATTGCCGCAGTCTAACAACCTATCAGTGAGTTGCTGGCTAACCCGTATAAGCTGGATGAGGATGGCCAATTGGAAGTACAAAAGAAGGCGTGTGGGATGCTGTTCCTTAAAGGTGTGTCAGCTGCAGCAGAAATTAGGCGAGTTATTGATGCGGAACGTGGAAGCACAAGGCGCTGAGGCGCAGGTGGGTAGCGCGACTGGTTGCAGGGTTGAATCATCAGTTGCTACTGCTAGATAGGTCGCTTCCTTCATGTAGTTGTACGTAGGTGACTGATGTGTGTGTTTCGCTTCTGAGATGAATGGGGTACAGTGAGATGGGACACTCCAAAGCTGATGCCTGCCATTCGAGTCGCTGGCAGCAGTCGTGTCAGAGGCAGAAGCCTCACAGGTACACCACATTTCCCGCTTCGCTACTTGGTATGGTTGTTGTGATAAAATAACTTCAGCTAGAAAGTTTCTTTTAGGGACCCATGATTGTAGCAGGTGTTACTAATCCCTGAGATTATTCGGGAAGCGTCTGACTCAACAACACCCCCGGCAAATGAGGTTTCTGACTGACCCCGGCCTGAGGTCACAACTGAAGCTGCCAGCACGTCAGTGGCGTTTCGGCGTCCTCATCCGCTCGATGCGACGCAGCTCCTGCAAACCCCTGCCACCGTCGCATCGCCAAACCACAAACCACACAACCTGACGAGATCTGCCACGAAATATTCAAGGGACGCACCCCGTTTTCCGCCACATCGAACGGCTCATACGCATCGATCTGGAACCAACAGCCTCCTCGTCACCCCAGTTTCGCTTCGCAGACACCCAGCACTACCCGCCCGCACAAATTGTGCTTACCAAAGTATCTACAGCAGTTCACCTTTGTTTTGCTCTCTTTCGCTCTTGCGCGACTTCCGCATTCCCCCCCTTTCGCGTTGTCCACGCGGTGTCCTGCCCCAGCATGCGTGCATCCAGCAGCGCCCTTGGAAAAAGCGGAAGACAGCCCATTCACTGCCCTTTGCTAACCTACCACTCACACCACATCACCAACAACCAACCACCCACCCCACCTCCTTCCACCCTGAAACTTGTGCTGGTGATTCATTCCTCCGATTTTTTCGGCTCTACTCCATGATGCTGACGCCTGCTAGAAAGTGCAATCTGTCCACATGACCTAGTATTTTCGGGTTTCCTACAATTCGATAACGCCTATCTTGTTGAACAGTGAAGCCGCCGTGATAAATTAATTCTTTAACAAATGGGGGTCGACTCATCATATCGCATCAGTGCAGCAGCAGCCGCAGCCGCCGCCGCTGCCGCCGCCGTGGACGTAGGAGTCAGCGACGAGAGTCTGGTCGGGCCTCCGCTGTTGAAGACGTGTTCGCAAGGTGTGTACCATACGGCGAGTCACGCGGCGATGGAGGCGGTGCTGCGCGAGCGATGCCTCGGCGCCCGCGGTCGCAGCGTGAGCGCTAAGGACGACGTCATCTACTCGCGGTCCGTCGCCACGGCTGATGGCGGGGGACGAACGTGCTGGAAAGGAGCCGATTGTGACTATAACGGGGCTGTCTGTGACGGGCAATGCGAAGGTGCAATTGGTGGGAGTGGATGTTGTTGTAAGGGGGGTCGGGCAGTGGAGGGTGAAGGGGAAGGGCCGGCGGAGGGCCGTGGGGAGAGAGGGAGCAACGACGGTGTCCGTTACTGTGAAACTCGCGATTATGGCGCCTCGCATCCCGGGTATAGCGTCGCGCGTCCCAACATTGATTTCAAGTCATGGCTCGAGGAGCAAATCCGGTTCAGCCAGTCTCTGCCGTCGACCATGTCGCCGTCACGCCATTCGCATTTTGTCAAAGCTTCAGCAATCGAGATTCCAGCTACATCCTCGGGTTTCTCTCCCTCCGCCTCCCCGTCCTCCTCGCCGTTCTCCTCCCTCTCCTCCCTGCCCCCGTTCCTCGCCTCTGCGTCCCCCAGTCCGTCCCCCTCCCCTTCCTCTACCGCGTCCTTCGCTCAGGCCTGTCCGCCCGCCAACTCTGCACCCAGCAGTGCCCCCATCACGGTCGCCGTTGCCCCTGCTGACACCACTATTCCTAGCAGCAGCGCCACTCATTCTCTTGCTGCTCTCGCGCCCTCCATCATCGCCCCCGCGTCACCCGCTCACTCCCTCGCCTCATCCTCCACTCCCTCCACCCCCACCCTCACCCCGCGCTCCCCCTACTTCTCCCTCTCGCCCGCCCATCGCCGCTCCCAGCATTTCCCACCCCCTCACTCTCCGTCCCCTGCCCCTCCTCCCTCCCCAATGCTCCTCGGCCGGTTCGGCCTGAAGTCCCCTCTGAAGGCGCCCCTGACGGCGCCGCTGAGGGCGATCAGTCGCATGGCTGCACGGCGCTGCCGGTGCTTCTTCACTCTCCACGTGCACGGCATCCTCGGCCTGCCCGCGCCCTTCCACGCCGCCGCCGACGCTGCTGCCGCCACCAGCAGCAGCAGCAGCAGCTGCAGCAGCTCCAGCATCGTTAGCAGCAGCAGTAGCAACTCGAGCAGCAGCAGCAGCAGCAGCAGCAGCAGCGGTGGCGGCGGCAGCAGCGGCGGGGAGTGGGAGGCGATGGTGCTGTGGCAGCGGCGGGGCATGGCGGTGAGCACGAGCGTGGCGGCCGTGCGAGACGGCGTGGTGCAGTTCGAGCAGACGCTCGAGCTCTCGTGCACGCTCTACTGCACCCCCGGCCCCCACCACTCGCTGCGCTTCCAGGAAAAGCCCTCCACGCTCGTCGTCCGACTCATCAACCGATCCGCACGCACGCCACCACGAGGGGGACAAGCAGGAGGCAGCGGTCGAGGAGGCGCGGGGAGCGCGGAGGGGGAAGAGGCAAGAGCAAGGGCTTGCGCAGCAACAGCGAGCGGGATGGAATTGAGTGGCGGAGGGGGGAGGGCAGGAGGTGGGTGTAGCGAGGTGGAGGTGGGGCGGCACGCGGTGGACCTGGCGCGCCTGGTGCCGTGGTCGCTGGTAGACACGGACCTCCGGCCGCACACGCTCGCCTTCCCCCTCTCCGCCGCTGCCAGCGGCGCCACCCTCCTCGCCACCTTCGGCTACGAGCTTCAGATCAGCAGGAGAACAGGCGGCATTGGGGGTACGGGGGGGGCGTGGGGTCCTGTGGGAGGGGGAGGAGGGGAGTCAAGGGTGGCGCGGGCGGACTCGAGGGCGTTCAGCGCGGTGGCGGCAGAGGCGGCGTTTGACGCCATGTCGCTGCCGTGCAGCAGCGCGCACAACAGCCCCGCCTCCAGCCCGCCCAGAGTGGCTCTCGCGCACTGGGCTGCTGGCGCCCTCCCTGCCGCCATGGGCGCTCCTCACAGGGAAGGGGACAAGCCGTTTGAGGAGTGGGGCGAGGGGGAGAGGACGCCGCGCGAGGAGTGTGAGGGCCAGGTGAGTGACAGGGGTCCGTGTGATGGCACGAGGGGTGTGGGCACGTGCAGGACGAGTGGCGGGGGGCCAGAAGGTGAGAAGGAACTGTGGGGCGCGGGTGAGTGCGAGGATGGTGCAGGGGGGGGCGTGGGGCCAGAGGCAGGAACTGAGCCTCAGCAGGGAGGGGGGGGCGTTGGTGGTGTGGACAGTGAGGAGGGGCTTGTGGATAGCAAGCGTGCTTGCGAGGTTAAAGGAGATGGGCACGCGATAGTAGGCGACGGATGTGCAAGTGAAGTCGAGAGGGTGTGTGTGGACGAGGAGGGTGAAACGAGCGTTGAAGCGCCTTCTGGAGAAGGAGAAAGGGAGCGCTGTGCTGTGAGTGGCAGTACAGCGAGCGTGGATGCAGTGGCAGAAAAGCACAAGCTTGACCCTGTCGCTCTACCGAAGGCAGCGGCGGGAGAGGTGTGGGAAGGTGTGGGGGAGGAGTGGGCGGTGGAAGGAGCAGAGGAGCTGCAGGGCGTGGAGGATGCGTTCATCGCGATGCTGGAGGAGCAGAGCCCGGAGAAGAGCACTCACACACGCAGCAGCAGGGGCCGCGGGAAGAGGAGCAGCAGTGGGGGCAGGAAGGGAGGCAAGGGAGTGCGGGGGGGCAGAGGGGGGGGTCGGGGGAGTGGGAGTGGTGGGGGTGGGGAGGAGGGGGGGGTGGCATGGCTGGATGGCATTCCAGAGGTGGATGGGGAGGGGGAGGAGAGGGAGGAGGGCGTGGAGGGAAAGGAAGACAGGGCAGTGGAATGATTTTTGGACAAGAGGGAGTAAGGGGATCATGAGGAGGACACTGCTAGGATTTTTTGTCGGCTTTCCAGTTCTGGATTGTTTGATTCGTTTTTTAGGGTTGGTGGGTGGGTGTGTGCGCATGTGCTGCTTGTAGCAGCATGTGTTGATTGCATTAGTCCTGGTCTCGCATTAGGGGTAGCGTGGCAGCTGTGAACGAACCTGATGCCTTGTGCAGGCTACTGGGACTCACTTGTAAATGCTCACGTGTGCTCACTGCGCCTCGCAGTCTGCCTCTGAATGCATTTTAGCCACTCATACTAGGTGTGGTATGGTAACACCTTTGTGCCCTGGAAACTCCAGCAGTTTGCACGGAAGGTGACCATGAGCTGAGGAGGATTCCCCCCTTTTGACCTGTTGGGTTCTCCCAGCTTCTATAGAACTAGACCAACACATGGAGACGACTTCCTAGAGCCACTGGCAGATGCTAGCTAGTCGCAACAGGTTTTGGTACATGTGACATGTCCAGATCTTTGTAACAGTGCCTTAGATCTGCAACCACTTGGCTTGCTGCAATAATATTCAGAGCTGTGTGTGTCTGGTCTGGGACTCTGGGACTACCTCGTGCTAGCAACACTACCAACCACTGGCCACCACGCCCCTGAAGTGCAGCCAGCACGGCTAAGAGAGCTGCCTTGCACTGGCAACAGTAGCCACAGCCACAATGGGAGAACCGCTGGAAACACGCTATGGAATGACTGACGGCACGACGCTTGATGACGCAACGGCATCAAGAGGCGGAACGTGGTGTGGGGAAGACACGATGTCTGGCGCTGACTGCGAGCCCTGCAGCGCAGGCACTCGGGTGCGCTCCACCTGCACGGTGGCGTGGGTGATGCCGTACGTGCGGTCGCAGAAGCGCAGCACGGCGTCCAGCACCTCCTCGGGGTTGCTGTGCGCATGGATGCGCACGTGGCACGCCAGCATCACCTTGCCCAGCGTGAGCGCCCAGATGTGCAGCTCGTGCACGTCCTCCACACCCGGCAGCGTCTTCAGCCCCGCCTCCACCTGCCGCCATGCCACAAGTGGACGCCCGCAGGTGACCAACCATAGGGGGACCGGGGCCCAGGGGGACAGGAGAAAGGGCAGGGGGACAGGGGGGCAGGGGGACAGGGGGGCAGGGGGACAGGGGGACAGGGGGGGCAGGATGACATCCTTACGGCAAGAGGAGAAGAGAAGCTCTGCCCTACTGAGCCCCTTCCAGAGCAACCCGTGCCTCTGACTGACCTCTGAGGCGTTGATCCCCCGCGGTGTGGACTCCATGAGCACGTCGATGACATCGCGTAACATGCGGAACGTGGTAACCAGAACTAACACCGAGAAGAGCAGCGTGCAGATCAGATCCACGATCTTCCTGCGCAGGGCAGCGCGGCCAAGGGGCAAGTGAATGGGAGGGTGGGCAAGAACCACGTGAGGATGAGTGTGCAAGGATCTTGGAGAGGAGTCAACACCATGTTTGAGCAGACAGAGGTCCGGGGGGATAAGGCGCAGATGGCAAGATGGGCTGCTTGTGACTGGGGGCAGTGTGCGGTCGGGCCATGGCAGGTGGGTGAACGAGGCAGGGCGAGTGAGGTGCAGGGCAGAGATGGAACGGAGGCAGCACGTACCATTCGGGGTTGTACCAGATGACAGCGCCCCCCACCATGACCCCTATGCTCTGCAGCAGGTCGCCCAGCACGTGCAGGTACGCCCCCTCCAGGTTGATGTTGCGAGCCCGTGCTGGCTCCGCGCCTGAGCCAAGACGCGCAGGAGGTGAGCGCAGGGGACAAGACGCCATTCAACTCCATGGCACACGAGTGAAGAAATGCGTCGCAACAAGGTACGAGATGGGAGGGAAAAGGTGAAGTTTTTTAAGGGAGGAAAGAAATGACGGGGGGAGAGAGAGAGATGCAGCGGGAGTGAGAGAGGGTTTGATAGCCATGCACTCCACCTGCTGGACTTGCACCTGCGAGCTGTTGATGCTCATGTTGATGCTGGGATGACTGGTTGGCGCTGTGGTGGAGGGTCACAATGGCATCGCCTGCACCTGAGGTCGTGTCATGCCCAAGCCCAAGCCCATGCCCATGCTCATGTCCTTGCCCGTGACTATGGTCATGGTCATGTGTGTCTGCTGTCGTGCAGCTCTTGCCACCGCAGTCCCCTCCATTCCGCTTCCACCCATGCACGTGCCCATGCTCCTGCTTATGATCATGCCCATGCTCATGCCCATGCCCATGGTCGTGCCCATGGTCGTGCCCATGGTCGTGCCCGTGGCCGTGATGGTGGTGGCCGAGGATGAGCGTCATGAGCACGTTCACGCCCACGCCAAAGGCGGACGTGATGAACATGAGCCGCCCGTCCACCGACTCCGTCTGCGAGATCAGCCTGCACGCACCCGCGCATTGACAAATGCAGGTTGGAAAGATAGCACACAAATGGGCTGAACATGGAAGGGTCTGACAACCCTCCTCGTTGTCTAGCCTAGCTACACCCCCCCCTGTGTAGCACCCCACTACGTTAAAGCCCGCGGTCCGGATTGTCCAAAAGTTTAACAATTGAAAGTAGGGGAAGAAAATTATTAAATGACCAGCTACGAGCTGACCGAAGTTTTGGCCAACCTTCGCTGAAATCGGTGACTCGCGAAAAGGGTTGCGAAGACTTTGGGAATTTTCACTAACACGACACAACGGTGCACAACTCCGAGTTACAGTCTGCGTTGATGGGTAAAAATTTCGTTTGACTCGATTGCGTTGGCATTTTGTCGCGAAACGAACACGCCCTTGTGCCCACGGACTGCGTTTTGGACCTCCAATCCGTACTGTCCAGGAAACTAGTTTTGAGGCGCCTCAAAACTACAATCCGTACTGTCCAGGAAACTAGTTTTGAGGCGCCTCAAAACTACAATCCGTACTGTCCAAGAAACTAGTTTTGAGGCGCCTCAAAACTACAATCCGTACTGTCCAGGAAACTAGTTTTGAGGCGCCTCAAAACTACAATCCGTACTGTCCAGGAAACTAGTTTTGAGGCGCCTCAAAACTACAATCCGTACTGTCCAGGAAACTAGTTTTGAGGCGCCTCAAAACTACAATCCGTACTGTCCAGGAAACTAGTTTTGAGGCGCCTCAAAACTACAATCCGTACTGTCCAGGAAACTAGTTTTGAGGCGCCTCAAAACTACAATCCGTACTGTCCAGGAAACTAGTTTAGAGGCACCTCAAAACTACAATCCGTACTGTCCAGGAAACACTGTCTTTGTTTAACAATCCAGCGACTTGCTCGTTGGTTTCCCCCGACTCCCCTGCCCCCTCCACATCATTTGCGAGGACTTTTCGGGTATTCCGTTTTCATGTGTTTAACAACCCCCAGGACTTGGACACTCCGGACTGCGGGTTTAAACCAGTGGCCAAAACGGGAGTTAACTAAAGCTCGCTGCGACTGATATAGCTCTACGAGTGCACCCGCAGAGACGTTTCACCGTTGGTAGCGAGAGGCGTGGGTTGGGTGTGCACCTGGAGACGGCCTCGTAGAGCAGGATGCCGGTAATCATCCAGATGAGCTGCATGGAGATGAGCGCGCCCAGGATCTCCATGCGGTGGTACCCGTACGTGTGCCGCGGCGTCGCCTCCCACCCCGCCATCCACAGCGCAAACAGACTTATCGCGAAACCTGCCCGCACGGACGGCGGGGAGGAGAGGCCCAGGGGAGGGAGGAAGAGGGGAGGGGAGGAGGAGACGGCAGAGGAAGAGACGGGTAAGGAGGGTAAAGGGGGGATATGAGACGAGGGGTTTTATGGAGGAATGAGAGAGGAAGAACGCGGAATAGAGTGGTAAGGCAGGCTGCGCGAAATCGATCCGAAGAAGCGCAGTGATGAGGGATGGGCCACGGGGAGCTCAGAACAAGTCCCGTTGAGGAGAGGCAGGTGCCAGGAGTGCAAGGGTGGCGCAGGACGGCAGGGGTTAAGCAGGGTTGGAGTGGGTGCCGCGGCAGAGGGCGAGGAGGGGCGTACTGGCGATGTCGGATAGCAGATGAGCGGCGTCTGTGAGCACGGCGAGACTGTTGGACAGAATCCCTGCCACGCGTGACATTGGGAGGGGGGGGGGTTGGCGTGGTGTGGGGTGGGGGGGAAGTGGAAGTGAGGATCGGAGACACGGGCGGACATGTTAGGCTAGGACATGTCAAGGGTTTTGAAATGTGAGGGGATAGAGTTGAGGGGGGAGAGAGGAGACAGCGCGGAAGAGAGGGACGGCTCTAGGGGCAAGCGGGAGATGGAGATGACTGGGACAGGAGACGAGAGGTCGCAACGGCCGTGGAGACGCAAGAAGGCACAAGGCGCAAGCGCGGAGCGGGAATGGCGGGAACGGGACTGACCTCCGACGACTTCGACGAGCATGAAGGCGAGCGAGAGCGCGATGGCGAGCACGAGGCGCTGCCGCACCTTGGCGCGCTCCTTGTCCTCCACCGTGCCCACCGCCACGCCGTCCGCGAACCCGCACCGCGCGCTGCAACCTGCCACGGGCGAGCAGCGACGCGCGCATCACGACCAGGAAGATCAGCGCAGCGAAACCCCGCTTCTACCGAAATCGCAATACAGACTAGGGTAGACTGTCGGGAATCTTGCAGCATGCCGGCGTTGAAGAGATTTCGGATCCGGGTTTGGCAGCGCGCGGCACTTACTGGCGTGTGCGGGCTCGTCCTTGGCGTCCACAGCAACCACCGTGTCCTCGTACTCCCCGCCCTCACGCCCATGCGCGTGCGTCGAATCGTGCTCGTGCTCGCGCTCCTCGTGCTCATGCGCGTGCGAATGGCTGTGCGCGTGGCTGTGGTGGTTGGGGTCGTCGAACTGTCTCCGATCGTCCTGTCGACTGTCCTTATCGCCATGCTCATGCTTATGCTCGTGAACGTGCTCGTGCCTGTGTGTGTGCGCGCCTTTCGCCTTCGCCTGGCTCTGATCCACCCGTCCGCGATTCCCGCCCAGCAACGGCTGCAGCAAGCCCGCCTTAGGGTCCGTCGGGCCCATCGGCTAAACAACGGATGCCGTCGCACTCCCAGGTTCGTGATCGTTGGGAATAGAAGGTCTCGCCTCGAAAGGCTGACGGCGGTGCGCGGACACTACTTTCTCTCGCCAGACTGTCGCAATCAAAACTCGAGGTAAAGAAGTAAACTATTCGCTGCAAACACCGATATGGCTTGCAGAGCTTTTACTGGGAATGCACAGGAACCAGCGCAATTGAGAGAAGAACACCTTAGGAAGGATTCACGCTGCCGAACGCGAACAGCACACGTCATGCAGTGAAAGGTATGTGGTCTAAAAAGTGGACGGGGAGAAGAACAGGAAATTAGACGCCACTCGCAGTTTGTGCGTGATTTGAGATGGCCTCGGGATTTGCTTCGAATCAGGAGCCAGCGTGCTGTCAGATGACTCTCAGGTTTCGCGGGTTGGCGCGGGAGAATGTGCGATGGTGGCGAGGGGACAGTAATGTTGGAGGATTTCGCTGATCTGCGTCGCACAAAGTTATTATTCGCAGAACCAATGTCGTCCATCGTCAGGCGTCGCTTACGCCGTTTGATTCTTCGCATTCTCCCCTTCGCCAGGAATGTGGCGCTGGCCAGTCGTTGAGGTGGAGATCTGGCAATCCGAGGTGGAGGTTTTTGTGGCGAAAGGGTTCTGCGACACAGACAGAACATTCACTTTGGCGAAGTAACCACCTCAGAAAGTGCACTTTTTGCGACGGGCGGCATTGATCTGTCGTACCTCTCAAATCCCCCTCATCTTTGGCTGCTCACATAAATCTCTACACCATGCATGGATAGTTTCAATCGTATGCCTGACTTTATTATTTCCGTGTAAAGAAGCATGTTCTTGACGGAATTATCAGTGTGAATCTGTCAACCTTTCGCATCCCATCGCGTCATCCTTCCCCTCAAGGCGAGATCTTGAATTTAGGGTATCCCGTTTCTTGCTACTTAGGCGCTCTCTCACACTCGCTACCGGCTCTCTGCAGCCGCGCACTCTCCTGCTTTACTCCCCTCCTGTTCATGTATAAATCCCCTCATCAGGATTCCCCACCAGCTTTTATCCCGCCTTTGCTTGCTCCTGCTGCAGCGACCAGCCATGGATCCCGCCTCTCCCCGCCGCCAGCCGCCGCTGCCCCTGCTGGTTCTCCTCCTAGCAGTGGCGGTGCGGGCAAATCTCACGGATCTGACTCTCAACCGCTCAGATCTGGAGGCCCGGGACCGGCTCGTGGGAATGCATCTGGGAGCACGAGCGGAGGTCAGCAAGGTGGGGAAGTGTCTGCAGTTTCAGGGCGGAATAGCGAGGGTGGATCGTCAACGGCGAGCGGCGTTTCGGGGCTTGATAACGCAGGAAACTCTAGCAGCGGTATTGCCGGCGGCAGCGGCGGCGTCGTGAGCGCGAACGCGGGAGCGAATTCGGCATTAGCAGCAGCGATGGGCAGGTCCGGTGGTACAGGCAGTGTTAATGCCCAGTCGAACGCCACGCGCGGTGGCGGCGGTGGCAGCAGCGGAAGCTCGTCTGGCATTCCAAATGCGCTCAATCCAATGGCGAACGAATTTGTGCCAGTTACCGTCTTCCAACCCGCAGGTCCGTCACTTGCTACCAACCCCTCGTAGACCTTCTCGTGTTCTCTTCTTTTCCCAACCTGGCTATCTCATTAAAAACTCTCGCCTCTTTGCGCTGAAACACCTGACCACACTTCCCCGTTTTCCCTCCTCCCGTCCTTTCCGTTCCGCGTCTCCCCATCCGTATTTCCCCCCTTCACGACTCCACGTTCGTCCCGCTCCAGCGCGCCCGCTGCAGCCTCAGCAGCAGTGGCAGCAGGGACGGCTCCCCGCTCAGCCTCAAGCCGACGGGTGGGAGCAGGTCAGGAGCGACGGCAGGTCGGGCGGAAGGGGCGGCCGGGGGAGGGGCAGGGGCGGGCTGAGCGCGAGCTTTGCGGACGGGGGCGGAGGAGCGAGAGGGGGGGAGATGGGCAGAAGCGGGAGGGGGAGAGGCGGCAGGGGGGCGTACGGTGGAAGTCGAGGGGGAGGAGGTGGTGGGCGAGGGGGAGCGGGAAGGTCGCGATGGGGCGCAAGCGAGGCAGGCATGGAGGTAACGTCAGACGAGGGAGGGCGAGGGGCAGTAGACGCCGCTGCTGCCGCTGCCGCTGCTGCTGCCGCTGCTGGCGATGGTGATGGAGGCGGAGGAGGCGGAAGCAGGGGAGGAGGGAGCGGCAGTGCGACAGTGGCAGCGGGGGCAGACGCAGCAGCAGCAGCAGGGGCAGCAGGGTCAGCGTCGGCAACGGCGAGTGGGGGGCGGGGGCGCAGGGGCGTACAGATGCAGGCGAACCACCTGCTCAACTTCCAGCCGTACCAGCCCACCACCGCACGAGGCGTGGGGGCAATGGTGGGCGGGTCAGGGTGGACGAGCGGCGGAGGAGGGTCGGGCCGGTGGCGGCAGCAGCAGCAGCGCAGTCGAGCACACCGGTCGTTCAACCGAGACTTGTTTCTGCAGGTGAGTGCGTGGGCGTGGGCGCGTGCGTGAGCGAATCGTGGCAACTCGCCGAGGTGCTGACGGCTCTGCATGACTGTACTGGCTGGTCCCCATGTGCGTGTCACATCTTTTCTACGGTGCTTGTCCCTGTATCGCCTTCCACCACATCCGCCCCTGTCGCCTCTCGCCCTCCCACTCTCCCTCTTCGCTCCTCTCGCCCTTTCTCCCCCACCTCCCTCCCCCGCCACCTCCCTCCCCCTCCCCCGCAGGCGAACTGTCGGTTCCTGGTGTCGGACTGCGGCGACTACAACAGCGACCTTGCTGACGCCGACCGCATGCCCGACTGGGCTGACGTGGCGGCCGTCGAAATTACCGAGATCGCTGACTGGCAATGGGGCGCGCATGGGGATGGGGGCGGGGGGCAGCAGAAGGAGCATAAGGACGGTGATGCAGGGGAGGATGTGGGGGGAGGGCGGAAGGAGGGGGCAGCAGGGGAGGATAGCATAGCTGGCGGGGCCAGTGGCACCTTGTCGTGCCCCATCTGTCTTGAGAGCCCCCCCCTCTGCCCCCAGGTTCGTTCTTCTGGGCCCTGGGAAAGGATGGGGTGGTTGTGTGACGGTCTTGAAGTGTGGGGCTGGGAATGGCGTGGGGGATAGAGTGATGCGTCCTGACCAGTATCTCCAGACCTGTTCTCCCCCACATCCCCCCCTCCGCCTCCTTCCTTTTCCTTCACCTATCCATATTTTTTAACTCCATGGACGCTTTATCACTTTTCCCTCTTCCCCTCCCTCTCCTCCCTGCCCCCCTCTCCCCTCTCCCCCCCCCCCCGCCCCCTTATTCCTTGTCCCCCTGCGCGCCGAGCCCGCAGATCACGGCATGCGGCCACGTGTTCTGCCACCCCTGCATCCTGCGCCACTTCGCCACGCCCGACGCGCGCCACCCCGACGCGCCCCACATGCGTCCCGCCACCGCCGCCAACGCTGCCGCCGCCGCTGCTGTGGCGCGCGCTGTGGCTGCAGGAGGCAGCCCGCAGAGGGCCCTGCGGACCCTCTCTGGCACAGGCAGTGCGCAGGAGAGCGCAGCAGTGGCAGCAGGGGGAGCAGGGGGAGCGGCGGGCTGGGGTGGCAGAGGCGCTGGGAGAGGAGCAGCAGGAGCAGCAGCAGGGCGGGGTGTCGGGCGAGGTGGGCGAGGTGGGGGTGGGAGAGCGGCAGCGGCAGCAGGTGCTGCAGCAGCGCCGGTGGTGCTGCCATCGGCGGGGCTGGCGTCGTCGGCAGTGCAGCGTTTCAAGCGGTGCCCGCTGTGCTTCGCGTCCATCGGGTCCCAGGAGCTGCGCACCGTCACCATCCGCCCCGTGCCCGCTCCCCGTGTCGGCCACATGCTGCGATTTGTGGCGCTCATGCGCTCCAAGGTGCACCCAGTCACACGCCCTCCTTCACATGGCTTCACACCGGCAGCTTCATGGGCCCCCATGTATCCATGCTCTCGTCCGTCACTCCATACCTCATACCTCATGCCTCATGCCTCATGCCTCACGCCCTTCTCCCTCTCCCCCCCCTCCTCCCCCACTTCCCCCCCCACTCCCTCTCCCCCCCTCCCCACATTCCTCCCGTCCATCCCCCCATCCACCCTGTCCCTCCCTGCCAGTCGTGCGTGGTGCCCTTCGAGATGCACCGCCACCACCACCAGCACTTCTCCCTCGCCTCACTGCCCTTCTCCTCCTGCGGCCGCTGCCACCCCTACTCCAAGCTCACGCTCACCGCTGACTCGGGCGCAGCGGCGGTGGCGGACGCGGCGGTGCGCGCGCTGCTGCGGTGCGTGGAGGAGGCGAATGAGAGGGGTGGGGAGGAGCTGGAGCAGCTGCCGTACGTCATGGACGCCGTCAACCAGCTGCTCGACCGCCACCAGGTGGGGGCAGGGGAGGGGGGAGGGGAGGGGATGGAGAGGGGAGGGAGGGGAGGGGAGGGGATAGTGTGGGTAGTGGGATTTGAAGCTGTAGCGGGTCGAAGAATGCGTTTTGTTCACATTTTTCCTCTCTTCCCTCGCTCTGTCTCTTGTCGCCCTCCTTTCCCCCCCTGTGTGTGCATGAGCAGGCGTGGGTGGAGCACCGGCAGATGGCATTCGTGGCGGCTAGCCCATCCCAGCAGAAGGGGCTGCTCTCGCTCCTCAAGCTGCCCATCGACCTCCCCCCACCCCCCTCTCGCCGTCCTCCGCCCCCTCCGCCTCTCTCTCCGCTTCCTCGCCCTCGTCCCATCGCATCACCTCCCCTCGCACTCACCCCTCCTCCTCGTTTCTCCCCACCAGTCCCCGTGCTGTGGGCAAGCGCATGGGTGCATTGAAGTTAGAGGGAAGACGAGGGGCCGGGAAGGAAGAGGCTGGGGAGCACAAGGGGGGCGAGAAACCCGCAGAACCGGCACAAGGCACTGGGGATGCGGCATGTGGGGAGGTGGAAGGTGGAGTGGTGGGAGGGGCAAGGGGGGAGGAGGAGGAGGAGGAGGAGGAGGAGGAGGAGGAGGAAGAGGAAGAGGAGGCGTGCATTGAGGAGATGGGGGAGGAGGGGAGTGTGGGGGTCGGGGGCGAGGATGTGGCGGAGGAGGTGGAGAGGGCCATGCACGAGCTGGAGGCCACCGCCGGGTGGGTGTATGAGTGCGCCTTCTCCGATGACGAGGGGGAGGACGGCCAAGGGGGAACGGACGCTGAGGGGAAGAGGGACGGCGCTGGTTGTGCTGCTGCTGTTGGTGGTCCGGAAACAGCAGAGGACAGCAAGGGAGTAGTGCCAGGAGGGAAAATGGGCGAGAGCGAGAGGGGAGAAGCCATGGCGGGTGGTAGCAGCAGTGGCGAGGAGGCAGGTACGGGTGAGAAGGGCAGGGGAGGTGAGAAGCATGAATCGGGTGAGGAGCGGGGTGAGGGTGCCAGTGGGCAGGGCGGAGGTGGGAAGGGCAAGATGGGGCGTGGGGGCGAGGGCGAGGAGGTGTGTGGGTGGCACGTGTTCTACCAGGCGCAGGATGGCCCGTGCGTGGTGCTGCACCCGCTCAACTTCAAGTGCCTGCTGCAACACTACGGCTCCGTCGAACGCCTCCCCCTCAGGCAAGCCCCTGCTCCGCCTCTCCTCCACTTCCTCGCTCTCACCTTCTCTCCTTCTCTCTGCTCCCCCTCACCCCATAATTCCAGCAGTCCTTTCCTCCGTCTTTCCCCACCTCCCTCGAACGCCTCCTTGCCCCCCCCTCCGTTGGCATGTGTTGCTCATCTCTGTCGCCTCTTTGACAAGTTTCCCTGCTGCTCATGGTATCTACATCTCTCCTCCACCCACTTCCACCACCATCATCTCCCCCTCTCTTCTTCCCCCTCCCCCCCCTCCCCCCCCTCCCCCAGCATCACGGCCCGCGTGTTGCAGCTGGAGGCGATGCGGCAGTCGGAGGCGGTGCGGCGGCGTCTGCGCGTGCTGGACCACCTGCCGCTGACCGCTGCCTTTGTGCTGGCTGAGGTGGACCTCGCCCCGCTGCTGCCCGCCTCCTCTCTCGCACCGTTCCTGCCCGAGATCAACCAACGCAGGCTGCAGCGCCAACGCCTGCTCCGACAGGTGGGTGGGCATGGTCGGATGCTGCATAGGCGGGTGGGCATGGCTCAAGCAGATGCTTGCTTTGAAACAATCGCTCCAGACAATCATTGCATCCCATGACATCTCGTTCCTTCCCCCAAATTCCTGCTGTGGTTTTTGACTCCCAGTCGTCTCCCTCCCTTGCTCCACCACCCCCTCCATCATCACCTGTGTCTTTTTCACGGCTCGTATCCCAGGAGGAGAGGGACCGAGTGAAGGCGCAGCACAGGGAGGCGGTGGCGGTGGCGGCAGCAGCGGAGGATGCGCGCTTCTTCGAGCGCCAGCGTGTGCCAGCGCCCATGGACTTCGTGCCCCTCGCACAGGCCGTGGCTGCTGGGTCTGCCACACCAGGTGCTGCCACACCAGGTGCTGCAGGTGCTGCGGCACCTGGGGAAGACTCTGACGCTGACCCTGTTGCTGGTGGTGCTGGTGGGGATGTAGCAGCAGGTGGTGCGGAATCCGAGGGAGCCCCTTCCAGTGTGAGCCATGCGCCACCAATGGCGTTCTCCAAGGTAGCAGAGCTGGGGTACGCTGCTGGCCTGGGCTCTGTCGCCCTCTCCTCGCCCTCCCCCGCCCTTACACACGCCTCCTCACAGCCCCTCTCCTCCCTCTCTGCTGCATCCACCCCAGCCCCTCCTGCTGCTGGTGCCGCCTCATCAGTGTGGGCGAACCGCCCAGATTTCTCCAAAGCAGGTCCCTCTTCTGCTGCTGGTGCTGCTGCTGCAGGGTGGGGCAGGGGCGCAGGGAGTGGAGGGGAGGGGTCTCAGGCAGGGAGTGGCGATGGGGGTGGCGCTTCGGGTGGGGGGAAGGGGAAGGGCAAGAAGGGCAAGAAGAAAGGCACGACTATCCTGCTCTCCAGTGGAGGCCTGCCGCGCTACTGAATGCCCGGTGGGAATGGGGGTGCCTGCCAACGTAGTGAGCCCTTTGTCTGATTGAGTTGAGGAGACCAGGATTCAGGACCATTACCAGCACTTTGCATAGTGCTAGACTCGCAGCTTTAGGTGGAAGGGCCGCTGCACCTTCGTTTTTGGTGGGCTTCGTCGCTGTGGTGCTTGCTGTTACGGGATGGGAGGCTGAATGTAGCGTTGCTCCTGTCCACCAAGAACAGCGTTTCGAGGATAAATGGAGGATGATGGTACTTGTGTCTGCATATTTGATGCTTGCTAGTGACTCGTGCTGCCAGTCACCCCCTCAAAGAAGCACCAGGAATCTTTTGCTCATGGCGTACAACAGGTACCAACAGATACCATGCCTGTCAACTAGGTACCCTAAAGACAGTAAATTCATTCACATGAGATGCACATTGGTATCATGGTAGGTACTCGTACCGCAGTTTTGCTATCAATGCTCACATCCTACTCTACTGCTTCTGGAAATGGCAGCCAAGCATGGAGCCAGGTGCTGTCCGAATGGAGCTCACAGAATGCTCGTGCCACGTCTGCATGCGTTGTCATACCTGCTCCACCGCAGTGCTCCTCCTCTGCACAATCCATGCGCGCGCAGGCCTCCCCCCCCAACACACCAGCCCCAATCACATAGAGCCGTCCAATCTACCACAGCTGAACCTGACGCATGCTGGCATAAAGCCGTTCCGCCTACCCTCCTTCCCACGTTATTTTATCTTCACCCGCCATCCAACTTCACCCCTCGGGTTGTGAACCCCTCTCCCTTCTCCCTTGGAAAGGGGTGAACCCACGAACCCACACGGTAGGGCTTATTGCATCAGTCAACACATGGGGCATCATCATTTGTCGCCTCCCAAGTAGAGCTCTAGGCTCAACCCTTCCCCTCCACTCACCCACCTTAGGAGCTTCAGTTCATGCCCTTTCACTCAACCTCTTAAAAGAGGGCAGCCCCCGTCTCAGCACCCTCCTCTCCCTATCCTGGGGGTTTCAGCCCCCCTCGATTTCCTCTCACCCAACTCACCCTGGGGATCTCAAACCCCTTTTCTCCTTTCCCTCTCACTCAACTTACTTGGGTGGTAGATGCAGCCGCCCTCCCTTGCCGCTCTCTCAACCCACCTGGGGGTTTCTGACCCCCACACCATCATTTGCCGCCAATCATGTAGAGCCCTTGGCTCCAAGCTTCCCTTCCACTCACCCACCCCAGGGATTTCAGCCCCCTTCCCATCCACTCACCCACCTTGGAGGCTTGAAGCGCTTACTCTTTCACTCCCCACCTTACACGGTTTGAACCCCTCACTTCCGCCCACTCATGAACCCAGAGGGTTTGGCCAACCACTCAATGCCACTCAGGTGGCGACAAAGCACTCTCTTACCACTCAGGGTGGCAGCAAACCACTCTTTTACCACTCAGGGTGGTGGCAAACCATTCTCTTACCGCTTAGGGTGGTGGCAAACCACACTTCTACCAATGAAAATTGTGGCAAACCACTCTTTTACTACTCAAAGTGATGGCAAACCACTCTTATACCACTCAAGGTGGCAGCAAATCACTCTTTTACCACTCGAAGTGGTGGCAAACCACTCTTATACCACTCAGGGGGGTGGCAAACCACACTTTTACCACTCGAATTGGTGGCAAACCACCCTTTTATGACTCAAAGTTGTGGCAAACCAGTCTCTTACCACACAGGGGGGTGGCAAACGACTCTTTTCCCACTCAGGGTGGTGACAAACCACTCTTTTGCCACTCAGGGTGGTGGCAAACCACTCATTTACCTTTTAAAATGGTGGCAACCAACTCCTTTACCACTTAGAGAGGTGGCAAACCACTCCTTTACTACACAAGGTGGTGATAAACCACTCTCTTACTGCTCAAAGTGGTGGCAAACCACTCTTTAACCACTTAAAGTGGTGGACAACCATTTTCTAACCACTCAGGGTGGTGGCAATCCACTCTTTTACCACTCAAAGTGGCGGCAAACCACTCTTATACCACTCAGGGGGGTGGCAAACCACTCTTTTACCACTCGAAGTGGTGGCAAACCACCATTTTATGACTCGAAGTTGTGGTAAACCAGTCTCTTACCACTCAGGGGGGTGGCAAAAGATTCTTTTACCATTCAGGGTGGTGACAAACCACTCTTTTGCCACTCAGGGTGGTGGCAAACCTTTCATTTACCACTTAAAATGGTGGCAACCAACTCCTTTACCACTCAGAGAGGTGGCAAACCACTCCTTTACTACTCAGGATGATGATAAACCACTCTCTTACCGCTCAAAGTGGTGGCAAACCATTCTTTAACCACTCAAAGTGGTGGACAACCAATTTTTAACCACTCAGGGTGGTGGCAATCCACTCTTTTACCACTCAAAATGGCGGCAAGCCACTCGTTTACCACTCAACGTGGTGGCAAACCACTCTTTTACCACTCAAAGTGGTGGAAAAACACTATGTTATCACTCTCAGGAATGGCAAACCACTCGTTTACCACTCGGGGTGGTGGCAAACCAATCTTTAACCACTGAAAATGGTGGCAAACCACTCTGTTACCACTCAAAGTGATGGCAAACCACTCTCTTACCATTCAAAGTGGTGGCAAACTACTGTGTTATCAGTCAAAGAGGTGGCAAAGCACTCATTTACCACTTACGGTGATGGCAAACCACTCTTTTACCACTCAAAATGGTGGCAAACCACTCTCTCACTACTCAAGGTGGGCAAACCACTCTTATACAACTCAGGGGGGTGGCAAACCACTCTTTTACCACTCGAAGTGGTGGCAAACCACCCTTTTATCACTCCAATTTGTGGCAAACCACTCTCTTACCAATCAGGGGGGTGACAAATGACTCTTTTGCCACTCAGGGTGGTGACAAACCACTCTTTTGCTACTCAGGGTGGTAACAAACCGTTCTTTTACCACTCAAAGTGGTGACAAACCACTCCTTTACCATTCAGAAATGTGGCAAACCACTCCTTCACTACTCAGGATGGTGACAAACCGCTCTCTTACCGCTCAAAGTGGTGGCAAACCACTCTTTAACCACTCAAAGTGGTGGACAACCATTTTCTAACCACTCAGGGTAGTGGCAAACCACTCCTTTTTACACATAGTGGTGGCAAACCACTCTTTTACCACTCAAAGTGGTGGCAAACCACTCTTTTACCATTCAAAGTGATGGCAAACCACTCTTATACCACTCAGGGTGGCAGCAAACCACTCGTTTACCACTCAAAGTAGTGGCAAACCACTCTCGTACCATGCAAGGTGGTGGCAAACCCCTCTTTTACCATTTAAAGTAGTGGCAAACCACTCTTTTACCACTCAAAGTGGTGGCAAACCACTCTCTTACAACTCTAAGTGGTGGCAAACCACTTTTTGACCACTCAGAGATATGGCAAACTACTCCTTTACCATTCTTGGTGTGGCAAACCATTATTTTACCACTCAAAGTGGTGACAAACTACACTCTTACCACTTAGAGTGGTGGCAAACCACTCTTTTACCACTCAGGGGGGTGGCAAACTAGTCTTTTACCATTCAAAGTGGTGGCAAACCACCCTTTTTACACTCGAAGTTGTGGCAAACCAGTCTCTTGCCACTTAGGGGGGTGGCAAATGACTCTTTTATCACTCAGGGTGGTGGCAAACAACTCTTTTACCATTCAGGGGGGCGGCAAACTACCCGTTTATCAATCCAAGTGGTGGCAAACCACTCTCTTACCACTCAAGGGGGTGGGAAACGACTCTTTTACCACTCAAGGTGGTGGCAAACCACTCTTTTACCACTCAGGGTGGTGGCAGACGACTCTTCTACCACTCAAAGTAGTGGCAACCCATTCCTTTACCACTCAGGGTGGTGACAAACCATTCTCTTACCGCTCAAAGTGATGGCAAACCACTCTTTAACCAGTCAAAGTGGTGGGCGACCATCTCTTAACCACTCAGGGTGGTGGCCAATCACTCGTTTACCACTCAAAGTGGTGGCAAACCACTATTTTACCATTCAGAGTGGTGGCAAACCACTCCTTTACCACGTAAAGTGAAGGCAAACCACTCATATACCACTAAGGGTAGTGGCAAACCACTCCATTACCATTCAAAGTGGTGGGAAACCACTCTCTTCTCATTTAGGGTGATGGCAAACTACTCTTTTACAACTCAAAGTGGTGGCAAACCACTCCTTCACCACTCAAAGTGAAGGCAAACCACTCTTATACCAGGCAGGGTGGCGGCAAACCACTCCTTTACCACTCTAAGTGGTGGCAAACCATACTCTTATCACTCAAAGTGGTGGTAAACCACTCTTTTACCATTCAGGGTGGTGGCAAACCACTCTTTAACCAGTCACGGTGATGGCAAACCACATTTTTACCACTCAGAGTGGTGGCATACCATTTTTTTATCACTCAAAGTGGTGGCAAACTACGCTTTTACCACTCAGAATTGTGGCAATCCACTCCTTTACCACTCAGAGAGGTGGCAAGCCACTCCTTACCACTCAGAGTGGCGGCAAACCACTCTCTTACCAACCAGGGAGGCGACAAACCCTTCTTTATCACTCAAGGTGACTGAAAACCACTTCTTCAGGGTAGTCTGCACGAGCAGGTCTACCTACGTCGCCCGCCAGGCTTCACCGGCACCTTCGCCCCAGGGACCCAATGGCTCCTCCGGTGCACGGTTTACGGCCTGCGGCAGGCACCGCGTGAGTTGCATGATATGCTGCGTGCTACGTTAGCTGACCTGGAGTTCTTCCCGTCGTCTGCAGACCCTTCGCTCTTCGTTCGTGCTGGCCAGACCCCGTTCTACATCCTTGTCTACGTAGATGACCTGGTCTTTGCTACAACAGACAGAGATGCACTGGCCTCCGTGAAGGCTGAGCTGCTGAGGAGACACACCTGCACTGACCTGGGAAAGCTGCGCTGCTACCTTGGCCTGCACATCTCCAGGGACAGAGCAGCGTGCACCATCACTCTTACACAGTCACACTTGGTGCGCCAGGTCCTTCAGAGGTTCGGCCTTCAGTTCTCCTCTGCACAGCACACACCTCTGTCAGTAGATCACAGGCTCTCGGCTCCATTCCTTGAGGAGTCTATAGAGCCTAGAAGTCCTTACATAGAGCTGGTGGATTGACTCATGTACCTGATGACTTGCACTCGTCCACATCGCGCATACCCTCTCAACATCTTGGCATTGCTTTGTGGCCACAGGCAGACACCGACTGCAGCACTAGTCGACCATTAAGAGGGTTTTGCGTTATCTAGCAAGTACATTGGGCATGGGGCTAGTGCTAGGAGGACACAGACCAGTGGTCCTTACAGGGCACACAGACGCGTCGTGGGCAGACAACACTGGGACACTCAGGTCCTCCCAGGGCTACTACTTTAGTCTTGGTGCAAGCGCCGTTTCGTGGCAGTCCACTCGTTCGTCGTCTGTTGCCCAGTCTAGCTGTGAGGGTGAGTTCTACGCCGGTGCCATGGCGGCACAGGAGCTCCGCTGGCTGACCTTCTTGCTCACAGACTTAGGTGAGCGACCTAGCTCTGCCCCGATCCTGTACGCTGGCAACCGGGCCATGATCCTCCTGTGTCAGAGCCTCGACTGGAAGGCAGAGCGAGGCACATCTAGCTGCGGTACTTCCCTCTGCGCGAGCTGCAACATCGCCGCCAGGCCCGCGTAGTACACTTGGCCTCTGGTGCCAAGACTGCTGATATCTTTACATAGGCGCTTGCGCCTAAAGATCATCAGCGGCACTGTGTACAGCTTGGTCTAGGTCTTGTAGCTACTCACTTGCTAGGACCTTGATTGTGTACTCATTTTATATTATCTTAACTGGCCTTGTGGCCCTTGTCCCAGTGGCTGGACTAGTAGTACCGCCCTGGATTGCTCTTGTTTCGTTTGTACTCTTGCTGCACTGCACATCCTAGGCAGTGCAGTCTGCTAGCCAGTCACTCTACACATCAATTGCTCTGGAGCTCTAGGGCATTCCTAAACCATCAACTTGGCAGAGCACGGCAGCAAGTCATCAAGACTTCATGACACAACCCCAGCAGGGAACAATCACGGCACGGTACAGGCACAGGACAGCACAGCCTCAGCACAGCAGACTCAGAGCATGACACACTCTCAACACGGCAGAGTCACAGCAAGATACAACCTCAGCACGACAGATTCGCAGGAAGACACAACCTCAGCATGGCATACTAGTACTCACTCCACGCCACACCCTCAGCCCGACACAATCACAGCACAGCACATTTGCAGCCCATCAAGACATCACTCCACGAAGTCAAAGTCCACCTCCGCCTCTGCCTCCGCCTCTCCCCCCTCCTCCTCAAACCCCTCCGCCTCTCTACCCTCCGCCCCTCCCCCCTCCACCTCTCCCCCCTCCGCCAAGCAACCTTCCTCGTCGTCCTCCTCCCCCGCCTCCTCCTCTTCCTCCTCGCGCTCCTCCTCCTCCTCATCGCCAGCCATGTAGAGTGGGTTAACCCACTCCTCGACGTTGCCGGCGGCGTGCACGTCGTCGTGCACCTCCACTTGGGCAGCATCGCGCATGTGCGCGAGGACCAAGTGGTCCTCACTGTCATCGGGGTTGTTGCTGATGCCACATGTTTTGAACGCTCCTCCGACACGTCATCCCATGAGGTCGCAACCCACCTCAGGACCACCTCAGGGCGCGGCTTCCTCAGGTTGCCTGCACAAATCACAACAAGGCATAATGCACACACAAGGCACTCAGGTATGGAAGGGTAGTACGATGCATAGAAAAGAGTAAGAATGCATGAGAAACAACCAGGCTTTGTACTGCACTTACCGGCGACCGTGAGAGTCTCAATCCCCTCGTTCTCGAACCATTCGTTGTAGTAGCGGCGCACTCCTGCCTTGAACGCGCGATTGATGACCACGTCCAGCGGCTGCAGCAGGGGAGTGCAACCACCCGGAATGATTGCTGGGGTGATGCGATGCCACCTGAGGGAGCCAAGCACCGCGTCCGTCAGGTGCCCATGGTACGAGTCCAGTATTAGCAAGGTCTTGGACCTTGCAACACCTGGCGGGGGGCGGACAAAGGGCAGCAAGACATGCTGCACCCAGTCCTGTACTAGGCCAGAGTCCATCCAGCCATGCTCGTGGGCGCAGATGAGGAGCCCTGCAAAGAGACGTAGGGATTATGTTAGGCGCATGGTAGGCAAATTCTGAGCAAACAATACAGTTGGTCACCTGGAGGGGCGCGGATGTTGGGGATCGTCTTGCGCTTGAAAATGACCATGGGAGGAAGCTTGCGGCCGGTTGCAGAGACGGCCAGCATCACGATTAGCCTTTCTTTCTCGTATCCTACGCTGCGAATCTGGACGGAATGGCTGCCGTGCTGATTCAACGTCCTCTCATACAGCATCTCGAGAAAGACGTGTGTCTGATCCGCGTTGATCATGTTCCACGGGTCAATCCCGCTTTCAATCACCTGCTTGCGAACAAAACGCCAGAAGTTCTCACTCGTCTGTTTGCAATCTGCCACATCAAAGATGACGCACAAGGGGACGGTCAGGAGAGGCTTGATTGCACACATAAGAGGTACTAGGATGGGCAGACAAGTGCGGACTTCTCACCACGAGTTAGACGCTGCCCTATCTTCGTCTTCACGTGAACGGTCAGGCCCCACCTCACGCGGAAGCAGAAGGTCCAGCTCGGCGAGGCTCTCCAGTCCACCGTGGGGTGGTGGGACCTAATGAACTGGCGGCTCCAAGCCTGCAGGAGGGAGATAGGGACAGCAAGACCTCGAGCACGGTGGGAGAGGAATCGCCGGTACACCGACATCTCCATGTCGGGATGCTTGGCGGCTCGTCCAGCACCACTCAGCCGTCGCCTAGAACCAGCAGCGCGCGCCATGTCAGCTTCCTGGTTCCTCCAATGGCGGATGCTGACCGGCTCGATGCCCGCTTCGCGTGCCACCGCTCGCACGGAGAGATGTTCATCACGCATCCTCTGTAGCCACCCGATTTTCTCTGCCATGGTGCGAGAAGTGCGACGGTGCGTGGTGACTCTGCCACGGTTCTCAGGAGCGCGCGAGTTGAGAGGACGCCGAACCTCGACGCCCTGGTTGATGAGCTCCTCGGGGAATTGTGGCACCGGGAAACTCCGGCGCGACGACTCTTCTGCAGGGGTCTCAGGGACAGGGGGGGGGAAGACACCATCGTTGACAGGCTCAAAGTCATGGTCGAACGAGGAGAACGCCACGGGAGGAGCGGGGGGCGCAGGTGGCGCTGGCGGTGCGGGAGGAGCGGGTGGAGCTGGCGGCGCAGGCGGCGCCGGCGGAGCTGGCGGTGATGGTGCGGCAGGAAGATTTGACTGTCGTGCGTACGAAGGACCTCGCCTAGCTACGCGGTTCTGCATCAACATTTGAAGGGCCGACATGGCTGCTGAAAGAGCACAACCTACACCTGCCTACTGAGGAGACGAGAGATGCCATGACGAGCAAGCGTGAGCTCGATTTCAGCTGGATCAGAAACACAGAAATGAGAATAGTCGCAGCGACAACCGCACCCAGAAGACAGGCCTGAGATGGACGTGAGTCTTTGTCGACTCGACGATGTGGGAACCTTGCCTGCTTGGCAAGGAAAACGTCTGTCCTAAGGCAGTTGTGGGCAGATCCAGAACAGCACAACCCACCTCGATGTAACCACTCGCGCTGGCAGTCAATATGATTTAGTGACGTGCCAGCGTTGCAGAATTTGCAGCCGTCGGGCTTCACATCTTGACGCGTGTCCCTCATGATAGTTCCACAAGCCGAGGATAAGAATGTGCCCCCCCCGTTTCAAACAAAAGCCCCCATGTAAAAGCCCATTAAAAAGGCTACAGAACGATAAATCCACATCCTTACGTAATAATTAAATGAACATGGGTCTTAAAATTTCCCTTCCGCCTTACTGTCCACCTAGTCGATGTTCCCTGATTTTTTTGCGAAACCTAGGGTCCTACCGGTATTGCCGGGAGATAACGGTAACCCTCAAACGGGTCTAAAAGAAGGTGACAAGCGGTGGCAGGCAGTGACGGGAGGTGACGGGTGGCAGGAGGTGGCGGGCGGCGGCGGGCGGTGATGGGCTGTTTTGGGCGTTAACTAGCGATGACGGGCGGTGGTGGTTGGTGATGGGCGGTGACGGGCGGTGGCGGGTGGTGGCGTGCGCTGGAACGCGGCGGGCGATGAGCGGTGGCTGGCGGTGGAGGGCGCAAGGGGCGTTGACGGGCAGTGGCGTGCAGTGATGGGCGGTGATGGGAGGTGACGGACGGTGTGGGCGGTGACGGAAGAAGACGGCTGGCGGGCGGTAGCCGGCAGTGACGGGCGATGGGCAGCCTGTGATGAGCGGTGATGGGTGGGGGGGGGCAGGGGGCGGTGACGGGCGACGGGCGATGACGAGCAGTGATGTGCGGTTGTGTCTGGTTGTTTCTAGGTGCCTCCTCTCCTCCCTCCAACCCCACCCATTCCTCACCCACCTCACATGGTCTCTCCCCCGCCTCCAACACCTCCACCACTCACCATACCTCTCAACCCACCCTTCCCACTCAACTTACAGTCGGGGTTTGAGTTGAAGTCTGAAGCCCACCCTTCCCACTCAACTTACAGTCAGGGGTCTGAGTTAAGTCTGAAGCCCACCCTTCCCACTCAACTTACAGTCAGGGGTCTGAGTTAAGTCTGAAGCCCACCCTTCCCACTCAACTTACAGTCAGGGGTCTGAGTTAAGTCTGAAGCCCACCCTTCCCACTCACCTTACAGTCTGGAAACCCCTCCCTTGCCTCGCACTGTCACTTGAGGTCTGAAACCAAGTATTTCCTCACTTACCTCAAGTTGCAACTTGGGGGTCTGAAACCCCCTCCCTTACCTCACACTGTAACTAGCAGTCTGAAACCCCCTCCCTGTAACTTGGGATTTCAAACTCCCTCCCTTACCTCACAATCTAACTTGGGGTCAGAGACCCCCTCCCCTGCCTCACCTTGATTCCCCGGTCAGTATTCCCCTTGCATGCCTCACCTTGGAAAAGGTTGGACCAACATCCCACATGATAGGGCATATAGCATCAGGCAACACGTGGGGCATCATCATTTGCTGCCCATCATGTGGAGCTCTAGGCTCTGCCCTTCCCTTCCACTCACCATAGGGCTTTCAGTCCCTTCCCTTCCCCTGAGAGCAGAGGAGGGGGGTTCCCCTGCCCCCTGCTCGCCCTAACCCGAGGGTTTCAACCCCCCTCTCCCACCCTGCCCCTCGCCAGCCTCACCCTGGAAGTTCCAACTCCCCTCCCCTCAACTTTCCTTGGGGGGCTGAAGCCCCCCTTCTCCTCCCCTCTCACCCAAATTACAGTGATGGTTGCACACGTCTCCATTACCCATCCCTCAACTTACTCTGGGGGGGTTTCAGCCCCCTTCTCCCCTCCCCACTCAACTGAACCTGGGAGGTTCCGCCCCACCCTTCTCACTCAACTTATCCTGGGGGGTTTCAGCCCCCCCTCCCACAACTTACCCTGGGGGGGGGGGGTTCACCCCTCTTCTCCTCCCCTCTCACGCCACTTACAGTGATGGTTGAAGACACTTGACTCAACTAACCCTGGGGGGTTGCAGTCCCCACCTCCTCCCCCTCTCACTCCCCTTATCGTCCCAAATTTGCCCCTCAATCAACCCACAGGAGTTCAGCCCCCCTTCTCCTCCAACTCTCGCTCAACTCACGCTCCTCTCCCCACTCAACCAACCCAGAAGGGCTCCAGCCTCCCCTCTCACCCAACTTACAGTGATGCCTGCACATGCCTCTATTGCCCATCCCTCAACTTTCCCTGGTGGCTTCAGCCCCCTTCTCCCCTTCCCACTCAACTTACCCTGGGAAGCTGAAGCCCCCGTCTCCTCCCCTCTCACCGAACTTACAGTGATGACATTATTGCCCACCACTCAACTTACCCATCCTCCCCATCCTCCCCATCCTCCCCCCCTCCCCATCCTCCCCTCTCACTCAACCCACCCTGGGGGGTTTCAGCTCCCCTTCCCCTGCCCTCTCACCCCACTTACAGCGATGGTTGGGCCAGACATGGAAGGAGGGTAAAACCCCCATGGTAAGGCTATTGAGGGGCAAGAGAGGGGAGATGAAACCCCCAAGTTAAGGAGAACCAAAGGCGGAGGAGGGGGCTTCCTCTGCCTCATGCTCGCCCCAACCTGCGGGTTTCGACCCCCTCCTCCCCCCCTGCCCCTCGCCAGCCATACCCTAGAGGATCCACCCCTCCTCCCCTGCCTTGACCTCACACCACTATGAGGCGCCCACTGCTCCTTATCTACCCCCTCACTTGACTCCCTCGAGGGGTTTAGCTCCCCTCCTTCGCAACTCTCTTCACTCACCCAAGGGGTTTCGGCTCCCCTCCTTTGCCCCTCACGTCACCCACTCAAGGAGGCTCAGCTCCCCTCATAAGCCCTCAACCAACTCGCCCTGGGGGTTTCTGCTCCCTCCTCTCCCTCTCACTCAACTTACCACGGCGCCAGCAGCCCCTCCTTTAGAGCTTTGCCCCTCATTCACACATGCTGAGGGTCTCGTCTCGGCGCCCCTTCCCCTCTCCCCCTCTCCCAACTTAAACCATGGTGTTTGCAGCCCCCCTCCATTCTGAAGGCCTCAGCCCCACGTGAAGCAAGCATGGTGCTTGCTTGCAGCCCCACTCACCTCACCTCACTCATGCTGGAGGCATCAGCCCCCTTTTCCTCTCCCTCTCACTCAACAGGGGTTTCACGCCCCATTTCTCCTCTCCCCCTCACTCAACTTACACTGGTGCTTGCAGCCTCCCTCCTTTGCCCCTCTCACTGGAACTCACCCTGTGCTTTGCAGCCTCTCCCTTTCTCACCTTACCCTGGTAGTAGCGGCAGCCCACCTCAATTCTTTCTTGATTCACTCATCCAGGGGATTCCAGGCCGTCTCCCTCTCACTCAACTTACAGTGGTAGTTGTAGACGCCCTCCTTCGCCCTTCCTTCACCTCCCACTACTGGTTTCAGCCCCCTCCTCTCCCTCTCACTCAACTTACAGTGGTAGTTGTAGACGCCCTCCTGTGCCCATCAAACAGCTCACCCGAGAAACTTCAGGTCCCCATTTACCACCACCGCCATCCCAGCTCACCTGCCAACCCTCACCTCCCCCCTCCCAGCACTCAGAGCAGCACGCATCCCCCTCCCCTTGGGAAACAACACGCCCTCCGGCTCTACCTCGTGGTGTGAACGTGGCAGTGGAAAGTGCACGGGCGGCCCAAGACTCAAATCCCGTGTACGAAAGCGTCGTAGGAGGGGACTCCCAACCAGAGCCGGCGCGCACGGCTCTGGCCGGTTCCATTATACGATACGCCAGTGTTGGTACTTGAGGAACGACTGCCGTGCCACACACTTTCCACCAACCACACCCGACCCACAAGGCAGGAACCACAGCGGGTGCTGCCCCTAAGGGAGTGAGCTGCATGCTTGCTCCTATGCTTCCCCCCCCTCCTCTACCCCCCCACCCCCTTACCTCAGCACCCCCTTACCTCAGCACCCCCCTTACCTCCACTGACCATAGCCGAATGGAGCACTATGACGCTGCAAACTGTTAAGGAGGGGGGAGGGGAGGTGAGGGTGGGGGCTGCACCTTCCTGGAGGCAAGACGCTGCTGGGGGGAGGGAAGGAGGGAGAGAGGAGAGCTGGTGAAAGAGGGTGGGCTCCATCCTCCTGCCCTTGCTCCAATCTCCTGCCCTTGCTCCAATCTCCTGCCCTTGCTCCAATCTCCTGCCCTTGCTCCAATCTCCTGCCCTTGCTCCAATCTCCTGCCCTTGCTCCAATCTCCTGCCCTTGCTCCAATCTCCTGCCCTTGCTCCAAGGCTTCAGACACGTATACTGTAGGAAGGAAGCAGGGGGGGTGAGACAACCATACCTGCTACCTTACCTGGTACCGTACCTCGCTCACCCCTACTCCTAGCCTGCCCGCTAACCCCCCACCCCCCACTGCTGCTTCTGCTGCTGCTGCAACTGCTGCTGCTGCTTCTGCTGCTGCTGCTTCTGCTGCTCAGCTTCCTCTGCTGCTGCTGCGTCTGCTGCTCAGCTTCCTCTGCTGCTGCTGCTTCTGCTGCTCAGCTTCCTCTGCTGCTGCTGCGTCTGCTGCTCAGCCTCCTCTGCTGCAGTCTTCAAATGATGCCAAGTGATCTGGTGGGGGCAGAAGGAGAAGCAGACAGAAAATAAGTTAATACCGTAGGAGGATTGGGATAAAAAGAAAGCCAGAGCATGCACGAACTGGAAGGACAGTGGACAGAAATCATTTGCAACAGCAGGCGGGGTTGGTGAAAAGAGGCTTACCATGAGAGGCCAACCCCACCCCAGATACTCTCCCTCAGGGGAGTATTCCTCCCATTGATGAGGCTCATGGCAGCATTCCTCCCACCTTCCCGTGTGCATGCACCTGCACGGCCACAGGGGAGGGGTGTGGGGGAATGGCAGCGTTGGCACCCACACCCCTCCCCTCAACCTGCAAGGAGGAAACTGTAGAGCAGTCAGTAAGCGGCTGGGTAGAAGCGTGAGTGGTGTGCATGGGTGGAGTGGCAGGAGATAGCAGCAGAGGGACCACTGGAGCAGCACTAGGCACATGGTGCAGACCCTAGGGTAATAGGAAGGGGGTTACCTAGTAAGTCTTTATGTATAGGTGTAGGTTTAACCTTGGGATAGGGAAGGTGGGGGGGGGGGGTTACCTGGAATAAGAGGGGGGGGGGGGGCTGGTGGGGTGTGCACCATGCGAGCTAGGCTGCTGCAAGTGGTTTGGTTTAAGGAGGCATGCAGCATGAATGGAATGATGAGGTGCGAAAGAATGTGTGAGTGCAAGTCTGAGTGTTGCGAAAAGACAAAAGAAGGTGACTGAAAGCAGTCAAAGAGAGAGAAAGAGTGTGTGTGAGTGTACTTATCTGCTGTGGCTGCTTGTGTGCTCCCAGCTGGCGCCCCCAGCCCTCTCTGCTTCCCGCCACTCAAGCGCTGCACAGCACCCACTTCACCGCCCCTCCCCTCCCCCTGCAGCCACAGCAGCACTGCACAGGCGCTTGCAGATCCGCCAGCAGAGGCCCTGCTGGGGGATGGGAGGGAGGGGAGGGGAGGGGAGCACAGGGGGAGGGAGGTCTCTTAGGTGTGCCACAGGGCAGAAAGGAACAGACGGGATGCATGGGAGGCCTCTTGGATGCGAAACAACAAAGCAGAAGAAACGAACGAGGGTTGGGAGAGGAGAGGCCAGGGGGGATACCTGAGTTGGCTCGGTGGAAAGCAGCTGCTGCCCCTGCGCTCCATGCTGCCCCACTCTTGCTCCCCGCCACCTGGGAGAAGGGAAAGAGGGGGTCGGGGAGGGGGAGGGTGGGGGGTGTTGGAGGCAAGGAGGAATCAGTGAGTTGAGTGGAATAAATATTGCACTAGAGCATGCATGAGTGCGAGCATGAATGCAAGAAGCAGAGCCACACCCAAGAGACCTCATACCGGCTGAACCAAACAAAACTGTAAGCCAGTACCTGCGGCTGTACCAAAGTTTTGAACCTGCTACCTTTGGGGAGGGAGGTCTCTCGGGTGTGCCACAGAGCAGGAAGGAGCGAGAATGGCTGCATGATGCAACGAACTTAACGGCAGCAGCGACAAGGAGAAGGGCCGGACGGGGTAATTAGCTGTAGTAGCAGCTAAGAAAGAGTAGTAGCGGCTAGGATGCAGGCTCACCTGGTGCAGGTAAGCCCACCCCGGATACTCTCCCTTGCAGTAGAAGGCACTGCTGTTGTTCCTTGCAGCACAGCCACGAGGCGAGAGTGTTGGTGTTGACCGCCACGCCCCTCCACCCACCACTGCCGCTGCAACCACTGCTGCTGCTGCCACCCCTGCAGTGGAGGGGGAAGGGAGGGGGAGCGAGAGGCAGGGGAGTGGGGAGTATCCCCCCCACCCCCCCAAGAAGGAGGGGAATACCACAGCAGCAGCAACACGAGCACGCGTTAGCAGCAGCAAGAGGAAAGATGCAGACTCGAGCAGAGAGCGAGCGAGACTCGAGACGCACGTACCAGGTGCAGCGGCGACCTAGACAGTGACCTACTCGCCCCCCCTACAGCTGGTTGTATGCTCTTACCAGGTGCCGCGCTGCCCGCAGCAGAGCCATGCATGGAGCGCGGACGACGCGCGCACGACACTCTCGCCACGCGACGGCGTCCGGATGACAATTTCGCCGTGCGACGGAGCGCGGACGACAATTTTGCAATGCGACGACGCGCGGAGGACCATCGCGCCGTCCGACGAGGCGCGAACGCCCATCTCGCCGCGCGACGACGCACGGACGATCATCTCGCCGTGTGACGACGCGCATACAACCATGTCGCCGGGCGTCGACGCGCGGACGACCATTTTCGCCGTGCGACGACGCGAATAGGTGGGCGCTCCCTCACGATTTGACGGACACAGGCAACGCCTTGGTCGCTAGAATCTGGAAGAAGATACAGGGCAAACAGTAAACAGCAAATAGCCAAATTGGGGTGTGCGCAATAACGGTGGTGTTTTTGACGCGAATCGCTTGAGCGACGACGAAATTGGTGTGGCGAAAGACATTTGGCGAAAATCTCCCGAAACAGTTTTGCTTGCGGCGAAAGCGATTCGGCGAGCATCGAAACGAAACCAACCTTCTGCGGCAGTTGCACGAAGAAACTTCGTCGCCAAATGCGTCGCGAATTCGTCACCCATCCGTCGCAGAAAGCGCACCACGTCACACATGGAGTTGGGAGATCGGCTTTGGCAATTGCTCCACCAGGGGACAAGAGCGCTACCTCGTGCACACAGAAACACTAGCACGGGCGATAGAGAGAAAGAGAAGTGGGCGTTAGCAGCAGCAAGAATGGAGCTGACTTGAAGCACGAAACAGACCAAGACGCGCTATGCGGCGACGCCTACTCGTCCCCCCCTCTAGCTCGTCCCTGCGACTTACCGAGGCGAATCCTCTGGGTAACTACGAGGCGAAATCTCCACCGGTTACGAGGCGAAGTCTCCCACCAGTTACGAGGCGAAAGTCTCCACCGGTTACGAGGCGAAGTCTCCCACCAGTTACGAGGCGAAAGTCTCCACCGGTTACGAGGCGAAGTCTCTTTCTCAATCGCGATGCGACGGGATGCGACCACGATGCGACGGGATTGGTGGATCCACGACCACGCGCAGACGAGTGCAGCGGGACCAACGGCTCCACGGCCCCGAAGATGCAGCAGCATCACGCCGACGCATTCACACGCCGACACATGCGCACGAAAACGGAAACAGAAGCACGAAAGAGAGTGCGTTAGTAGCAGCAAAAGAGATGACTCAAGCAGCACGAAACGGACAGGAGACGCGCTATGCGGCGGACGCCTATTCACCCCCCCTCTTGGTATTTCCTAACACTTACCGAGGCGATTCTTGAGAGGATCGTCGGAGGCGCAACGATGGTAGGCGACGGCCGATCGCCGGCGGCGCAACGATCGTTGGCGACGGAACTATCATTTCCGCCTCATCCCAACCACGGCATATGAAGCGACGCCACGTCTGTCACGGCGACGGTTGCGACGGACGTGATGGCGGAGCAGCCATCGCAGGCCGCCGTGCCAAAAGCTCATCGGAGAATAAGCAAACCCGGTTTTCAACACGGTCTCAACTTCATCGCAACTCAAATCATTTGCAAATAGTAAATCTATCAGAAGCAGCTCTAAAACGATGTCATCTCAATACCCTATTGGTCGAAAGGCGTCACGTGTGGCAAAATGATTTCGACTTCGAGCGACGGGCCAATCAGTTGGATGTTGATATCAACTCGGCGAACTTGTGGGTGGTAGCGGCCCTGTCGCGTTTTGCATACTGTGAGATTCAATAGCAGCAATCTTGTAATACACCTCGCGAGAAGATGGGGTTGTACATGTTGCATGTGTAAAATATGTCATTGTAGGTTGTGTATGTGTTGTGTAATTGAGCCCAATGTCTTATACTGGTTCTGTGTTGTTTAATTATTCATTTGAACTTTATCAGAGTATGTTTTTAAAATGTGATCATCGAAATGACGCCTCCACCATTAGCAGTGTAGTACCTGGTACGTTGCATGGCAAAAGGATTGGTGAAGGGTTAGCTGCATAATTTATATGAGATCAGGCAGTGCCGCGTATATCACCCAGCAAGGTGAATATCGTCCAGTTGGAGATTGATGAGTGGATTTAACAGCCGATGTTTGCACAAGCATCCACAACCACAATGTCGGGCGCCAGCGAGGAACGCGTTTTGCCACGTAGCCTAGTTTTTGGTGTAGCATTGTCAGAGTGTGGCGCGAATTGCTGCTAATGGCTGACGTTGGCACTGTACGCGTCAGCTGCACCTCTAAAGTTTGAACAAGCACAAATTTCGCGCGAAGCGCGAGGTGCAATTATCGCGCAATTCTCGCGCCTGGCGACGAGACACGTCACTCATGTTGAGGGTGCGAATCGCCGCACTCCAGCCAACCCTGGGAGATTGCTGATAGGTCGATGAGGGCGCGTCCAGCGCGTTCGTTTAAAATTCACTTTATACGGTTCAATATGGTTTTCAGAGTTCCAACGTGGTGAAGCGCGAGAAGCACTCCTGATCGTGATATATCCTGCTGAAACGTGATCTGTGTACTGTAAACGTACGCGCTGGACACACCCTGGGTTTCTCACTGGCCCTGCTGTCCACCCTACGTCAAAGTCGTCATTGCTCCCTGCTCTCGTCATCGGGCGTGCTTCTCTCCGCGGACCCAAATTCATCCTCTGTGGATGTGTCTCACATGTACGTCCTTAGCATTTTCCAGCGACAGTTTCCTAATTTAGTCAGCTCGACCCCCAGTCCAACTCTCCTTGTAGTGCCCGCACTTACTCCGAATTATTACCTGGCTTAGCCTCAGACCGTCATCAACGTTCGTGGCGATTTTTAAATGTAGGTTCGAAGGAGTGGATATGGTTTCCGTGGCTTTTTCTCACTAAATTCGCGTTGTACATGGGGGCTCACCTTCAGTCGTCTGGTGTTTCTGGTTAAGACGGCACAGGCGATTCTGGCACGAACGGGCGTATGCAGTCTATAGTCTGTGTACTTAACGCCTAGGAGGATGCAGCACCTTTAGGCTTGATATTCGTGGTTATTATATCGTAGTACAGGGTTTCTTCGTTTCTGGCAGCCCGAATCCTGCTGCAGAGTATGTGCTGTTAAGCACAGCATACTTCTAAGGTTCAGAATACTTCCTTATATCTTTGTACTCTAATTATATAGTGGAGGACCGTTCCCAGGCAACACTTCAGCTGTTATCAGGATGGATGGAAGGAAGAGGCGGCGGATTGTGTGTAATGAACCAGGATGCCTTGCTTCTTTCAGGTCCCAAGATGAGCGCACCAATCATATAAGAAGCGAGCGCCACATTTATGGCCCAGCTCTGCAACCAGTCCAGTCCACAGCTCCTACACATCCTGCAAGCCCTTGCTCGGCATCTGCTCGTGAAGAATCTACTGCAGTGCCTCCTCGGGCTGCAGATGAGGCTACTCCGAGTTGGGATAACACGGGGTATGAGTTTTCCATGGCCCGGACCGAACCATTGATGCATATTGATGGCCAGTTCTGGATGCTCACCAAAACCGGGAATGGAGGGACTGGTTTGTCTCGTGAAACAGTGAAAGAGCTGCTGAGGTTGTTCAAGGAAGCGCAGACAACCCCACTCAGCTTCGAGACTCTGGCAGATGTGGACCGGTTTGAGGAGTCCTTGGAAAAAGAGGTTGGATTGCAACCCTTGGAGCCAGTTGACATCACAGACAAGGAGCAGGATGCGACGCCAGTGATCCTGTGGTGTCGGCAGACATGGGCATGCGTGGCTGACCTATACAGCAATCCTGCAAATGCAGAAGGTTTTGTAGCGGAACTTGAAGACAGCGGCGAGAGTGAAGAAGCACACAGATTCACAGAACCTTCGACAGGATCATTCTGGAGAGAGGCTGTGGCTGGACTACCAGATGGTGCATCTATTGCTGCTGTCATCTTATATTCAGATGCAACTGAACTAGCCAAGGATGGATCAGCAACTGGTCACCCTGTCTATGTTTCATTGGGTAACATCTCATCTGGAGAACGCTGGAAGCCTCATGGCAGACGATTAGCAGCCTTGCTTCCGGACTTCAGCAAGCACGTAGTCAAGCCTGGAGTGGATGTGGCACGTCGACGGCTTGAGATCTTCCACACCTGTCTGGAGAAGATTCTAGAGAAGCAGAAGGAGGTGGAGTCAACGGGAATGAGGATGAAGGATCCCCTAGGTGTTGTTCGATATGTTCGCCCGTTGCTATACGCATATGTGGGCGATTATCCTGAGCAATGCAAGGTGGCGGGGACGAAAATGGGCAACCAGACGCGGTTTCCATGCCCGAAATGCCTCATATCGAATGAGAACTTGGCGAACGCTGATGCGCGGTGGGAGTACAGGACGGAGGAGGGCCAAAAGCTGACTCTGGCGCAACTGCAAGCTTTCCGTGGTCGCACAGCTCTAGCTCGAGCCGAAACTGTGGAGAGCACACATCGAGTCAAAGTACGTTTGGGATGGGGCTTGCAAGTGTCTAGTCCCCTCATGTTTGAACGTTTAGGGGAACGTCACAGATTGTATGAGTTTTTTTTAAGGCTTTGTGCATGGCGTGCAGCCACATCCCCCACCTATGTCTTCTCTATTTCCCCCCCTTCTTGCCATGCACACACTCTCTCTCCCCAAATCCAGCCACCACATCCCCCACCCCTCTCTTCCATTTCCCCCCTCCTTGCCATGCACACACTCACTCTCCCCAAATCCAGCCACCACATCCCCCACCTATGTCTTCTCTATTTCCCCCCCTTCTTGCCATGCACACACTCACTCTCCCCAAATCCAGCCACCACATCCCCCACCCCTCTCTTCCATTTCCCCCCCTCCTTGCCATGCACACACTCACTCTCCCCAAATCCAGCCACCACATCCCCCACCTATGTCTTCTCTATTTCCCCCCCTTCTTGCCATGCACACACTCACTCTCCCCAAATCCAGCCACCACATCCCCCACCCCTCTCTTCCATTTCCCCCCTCCTTGCCATGCACACACTCACTCTCCCCAAATCCAGCCACCATATCCCCCACCTATCTCTTCCATTTCCCCCCCTCCTTGCCATGCACACACTCACTCTCCCCAAATCCAGCCACCACATCCCCCACCTATCCCTTCCATTTCCCCCCCTCCTTGCCATTCACACACTCACTCCCCCCAAATCCAGCCACCATATCCCCCACCCCTCTCTTCCATTTCCCCCCCTCCTTGCCATGCACACACTCACTCTCCCCAAATCCAGCCACCACATCCCCCACCTATCCCTTCCATTTCCCCCCCTCCTTGCCATGCACACACTCACTCTCCCCAAATCCAGCCACCACATCCCCCACCCCTCTCTTCCATTTCCCCCCCTCCTTGCCATGCACACACTCTCTCTCCCCAAATCCAGCCACCACATCCCCCACCTCTCTCCTCTATTACCCCCCCACATTTCCATTCACTCAATCACTCACTATCTCGTTAGGTACGACGTCTACCTATGCTGCTCTTTCTCCCGCCGACATGCAGGTTGGGATATGGGGATTCCCAAACGGCTCAACAACATGGGGGAATCCATATCGCTCGCTGATGTGTGATGTCATGCACATGTCCGCTCTAGGGGTGTACAAGCACATGGTCGACTGCATACGCGCGATGCTCCCAGATAAAATTGCTGCTATGGATATTGCTTTGCGAAACGTCACTGCTTTCAGCCGCCAATCCTTGTTCCGCCTGCCATCCGAAGGGAAGCACTATTTCGCAAACAGAGGGGTGTTCCAAGCATTTGAACATCAGTCGGTCATGCAGGTTCTACCCATCATTCTTGAGTTGGTAAATGCGCCTGCAGCTATTCGTGAGGTGGTGTCACTGTACGTTTATTGGCACACCGAGGTGTGGCTACGCCCGTATCACACGGAGGACAGCCTAGATGTCTTGGATCTACTCACTAAGAAGTAAGTGAAGCCTAGAGCCGCTAGCTTTGAAGCGTAGTACTCTTGCTTTTTATTCAACATGTGGTCAAAACTCTTATCTATGTCGATTTCCTATTCATATCCTTCGTACCACTAATACCCAAACTGCAGGCTGGTCGCTAAGCTGGTGGACGTGTTTGGTGAGCAGCAATCATCCGAGTTCAATCTTCCCAAGGTACATGCGATGCTTCACGTCGTAGATGACATTCGTCGTGGGGGAATTCCTGCTCACTATTGTACAGATATGTACGAGCATCTACACATAGCACTGATGAAGCGGCCATACCGCACAAGCAACAAAAAGAATGTTGAGTCGCAGATAGCACGAAAGGCGTTGGTGGCTGAGCTCGTGGATATACTCGCACGCCAAGAAGAAGGAGCAGAAGACTCAGCTGCAAGGAACGGGGCGCTGAGTCAAGTAAGTACATGTGTACGCGAAATCTGTTTTTGACCAGCTCCACGACCCATCATTGCCACTATTTTTGTTTTCTCACCATCCCTCCAACTACTCCCCTAACACTCATGTTTCCAGGCCTTGCAAACTGGGTGTCCAGCTGTAACTGGCAAGAATGGGCAACTGGCTCTCCTTGGCGATAGGTCTTCGCTGTGGCAAGCATATGCACACACCATTCCAGGCAACATGGAGCAATTGTTGCCTTCTATTATGTCCTTTTTAGGGCCCGATAGGACATGTGACGCACGCGTTAACCTTCATCGTGGAGTGGCCGTTCCGCCTGGTGAAAACTACGAGATATACAATCGGCATGCACAGTTCGCTCGAGCCACTCCTCTTTTCTACGGCAGGCCGTGGTTCTCCGACGTTGCTGTTACTGATCACTCCACTGACGACGCAGATGCACAAAGATTCTGCAAGTTACTCCTAATGTTCACGCTGACTAATGGCGAGGAGTGCCAGCAGGTCGCTTTCGTGCGGTTTTATAACGTGCTTGGTCCGGCTGAAGGATCGGTATTGGACCGCATGACATGGGCGAGTGGTGATGGGGCATACGGCATCGTACCTGTTGATGACATCCTGCGTGTGCTTCACGTCGCTCCACTCACAGATGATGTACGCAGCGACAGCGCAACATTTTTGTACAACCCATTTAGGAGATGACGCATGTTTATATGCATATAAATGTTGTATATATTACACAGCATATAATCTACCATTTAAACCTCCCTCCACCCTTACGATTTTCGGACCACGGTTTGAGACCCGCGCCAATTGAAGTGTTGTAAACGACTGTACTGTAACGAGATTAGATTATACACAGTGCCTGCCTGCACTAGTTGTGCGCTGCGCAGTCGCATGCAAAAAGGAGGCATTGCACTGCACAGTGTGTTCATGCAGCCAATGTGAGAAATTATCGACCATTCGATAACACCTGTGGGTTCGTCGAAAAATTTCCGCTAACCAAACGACCATCAAATTTGGACCAATGGCACTGGTCCTTCCCTCCGCAGGCTGCACGGGCGCAACTTCGTAAAATTCACCAGGCGTCTGACGCACAAAGTTGCCCTATCCGCATTGGTCAGTGCAATGCTGCTGGCAGTTGGCATCCCACAACCTGCGAACAATATGTTCTACAAAAAAACCTAGCACCACATAACGGGTCTCCCGCGTCAGGCGATTCGCGGCAGAAAAAACTGATGCTGCCCAAAGAAACACTCGGGTTTTGCAACACGCAAAATACTGCCCCGCTGCGCTGCCACTCCAATGTCTTCGCGTGAGTTGTTTAGTGTAGCTTAAATGGACAAATCTTGTTGGCAGAACTCCACACGAAAACACCATCGGGATGGAAAGACAATCTGGTTGGTCAGACCGTCTCACTGGACAACGCTTCCTCGAACGGACTACGTGATTCGTCGGTTCAGGCAACGCGGAAGATAAGACAACTGGACTGCTGGACTGTCCTTTTTTTTTTTTTTTTTTTTTTTTTTTTTTTTTTTTTTTTCTCACTCCCCCCCCCCCCCCCCCCCCCCCCCCCCTTCCCCGGGCCATCCCGCGATTGTTATGGTGAAACGCGATGCTTATTTCATCTGTGCTAGATAATGGTTCTGTTCAGTAGAAACATGTACAGCGAGGATGTGAACTCCAAGCGTGAACTTCAAAAGTGCTTTCTAAAATTTCATCAGACCGCGCCACAGAACAGAAGGTTCCGAGCTCCTCATTGGCTGGAGACCAAGGTGAACACCAAGCACTCTCATCCGCCTCGCTCGCAGCTCCCTCAGCACGTACTCTCAACCAGATTTCTCCAAGCCTGCTCTGAGTTTGAATCTGCAATTCAAACTTCTAAGATATCGAACAAGCCTAACTTAGCTTTGGTAGTCTACAAACCTCCCTCAGAGGCGTGGTCCCTAAACACGGGGCTAGACTTTCAACCTCCCTCGCTTTTGTCACTCCGAACGCGGTTTGTCGTGCCTGGTGTTGATCCTCGTTCACAGGTAAGCACCTCACTTATAAAAGTGTAGCTCCATGTCTTCGCAATCAACTGCCACTTCTTTTCAATACTCTTTGCTCGAGCTCTACCATACATATCTAGCTGAGGCATGCGGAATAACTACAACTCTGTTCCTGCTTATGCTATGATGGCTGCTCGCCAGACTCTTGGCCGCTCAAGCAAGGACAAGCATCAAATCTTAGGGAAGCACTACGGAGGCATCTCAGGTATGGGTTGTGTTTCCTTCTTGGCTTTTTATACTCCCTGTTTTGCTTCTTAAACACTCAAGTGTGTTCAACTTGCAGGTACTTCTGGAGCACCACAAGAGATCAACAACAACGTCGGCCACACAACCGATGCTTCACCAAATTCTACCCCTATCAACGCCCCTGGATTGCAGCAACCTAAGGCAACAAAGAAGAGGTCTCTTGACTCTTTTGGAGAGCCTGTGACCGCCTCCCTACCTGGTATGTTATCTCTGCTCAGCATGTAGCTGTAGCTTACATCCAAGTTCTAATATGGTGACGTTTTCTACAATGCAGTGAGTGAGCCTAGCAACACCAATCCGACCACAGGCACAACAACAGCTCAGCCTAGTACAGCAGACCCCCCTGCTACAATTGCTCCTCTGCAAGGTTCAGGCCTTAACAGCTCACCTTCACCAGCAGGTATGGTACTCTCGTAATGTGCATGTTCCTTCTCTCGTAACCGTTTAGTATGGTCTCTTATCTACTATCCACTCTAATCATTAAGTTCTTGTTCTCCAGGTTATGGTGTTACAGGTGCTCGTCTGCTGAGTCTTGTTGCTGGCACTAATGCTCCCAAAGTTCCCCGTTTCCAAGAGGCTCCTCTCCGCTCGTCCCAGGTGCCAGACAATTGGCGGCTGTCCATCATGCAGTCTGAAGAGGCGGCTAATGAGGCTCGGGAGGCTGTGCAGCGTAACTCCCAAGTTGCTGCACAGGCCCTGGTTGCAGTTAACACGCTTGCAGGGCAACTTGCTCGATCCACCACGTCCAGCAGCACGTGGGTTGTAAGTGTTTTCACTCTTGTTCTACCTTTCATTGTTGAGGCCGTTGCTAATGCACATGGTTTCCATATACAGTTGTACAAAAAAAAGGCGATATACCAGTCCCTCAACCGTCCAGGGCACATCAACTTCGCTCCAGATGATGAGTACTGGATAAACGCGCTATGTTGTGAGTACTCAGATACTAGGGTTCATATTGCTTCCTCTTTTTTGTTCTTGTCATTATAACTAGTCTCTTACCATGTGCAGCTGTGGCTCATATTGACCCTAACCTGCCGGACGCGAATGAGTTCAAGCGAGAAGCTGTCGTAGGAGGGCATGTGAAAGCCCTTGCTGCCACCTTCAACAACAGGTTGGGCAAGAAACTGTCTGACATTCGCAAGGCTGCATTTGCTAATGACCCTATTCCGTTCATCCCTTCTGGCTCAAGTTCCAGAAATGTATCTCTGGATTTTGCCACGCAGTGCCTTGATTATGTGGCCTCCCATGCAACACGTAAGTATTTTTCCTTGAGTTCTTTTTCTTCGTGTATTGTATTTGTTCATTTAAGTCTGATTACTTGATCAAATGCAGGTGGGGAGGGTACGGAATGGCATGTTGGAGCCAATGGAGTGCCATTCAGCAGCCCTGCATTTGTGGCTGTTGCGCGGGTGTGGAATGGTGGGTACGCTCCCATTCTTGGGCTTCAGGCCGAACAGCTAGTCCTCTTGATGGCTGTTGTAAGTGTTTTCTAGCATTTTTTTATGCTTTGATTCTACTCACAATCTCACTTTAACATTCCATCAACTTGAACCCTTGGCAGGTCCGATACAAGCTGAGGAACCCAACGAGCACCAAGCTTCAGCTAGAGCGGTCAGGAGACTGTGATGCACTTGCAAGGCAGGCAAGGATTGTTCAGAGGATCATCAACAGGGTGAGAGCCGTTCCAAATGCGACTGGGGCTATTCACATCGGCCGGCTCTATCTGTACAACTGGACTCCAGTCGAAGCGGCTGTCCTTGAGCAGGATATGTTTGGTGATGAGCTGGATGAGGAGACTTATGACGAGGGAGTAGATGAAGAGGAGCAGTGAAAGGAAAAAGGGAAGGAGAGGGGAAGAGGAGGTAGGAGAAGAGGTGGTAGGGGTAGAGTAGGAAGTATTTCTAACAGTTCTGATTCTAATTTGACTGCATGACCTATGAATTGTAGAAGTATGTATGTAGAAGCTTTCAATAGATAGTTAAATTGAATATTATAGCGGAAATGAATACTTTAGGTAAAAGACAATACCATGCATATACTGAATCACAATTTAATTGCAAGGTGACTACCGCTACTATAATTTATAGTCACATCTGACTATGTCGAGGTTGCTATAAAATATTTTGAAACGTCCTATTACATTCTACCCTAACAGAATTACGGGTTTCCATGCCCCTCATTGTAACCTTCATGGCCGTTACGACTGGCCGACTAAAATCGTGGAGTTCGCTGGCCACTTCAGAATCATGCGGTGATGGTAATCCCGATGCGAGGGCGTGTTGTTTTCGTGCTGCCAATCAAGCGCGAAATTGCCGAACGCGCCTCGGTTCAGTTCGCCTTCTTGAATTCAACTCACCTGCGCTATTGCCCGCGTGTTGAAAATCTCCCGAACCCCACCATCTCCAACCCGACTTGTTCACGAGTTCACGACTTGTTCACAAGGCGCCAACCCAACCCCCACAATCTCCGATGCTGCAAGCAGGCGAAAGAATAGAGAGGAATAAAACCAGCTGAAGCAGCGTGGCATGTCGTGCAATTCGGGCGAACGGAACCAGGACGCCACGCACGACGGAGGGATTGGAAATTCCCTGAGACCTCCACAGGATTGTCGTCGGACGCTGCCAGAATCGTCGCATGCGACGATTTCGACACATGTTGGCACAACCGCCAACTCAGGCGCCGCGACAGCCAGGTCCGTTGGCCCTCCGCGTTACTCCGACGAGCTGCTGCCAGCGGGAACAGACGGAGACCTGGTAGTAAAGCCTTCTCGCGTCTGATAGGCGATTCGTCTGGTGTAAGAATGGCGAGGAAATGACGAAGCTAGGCGGAGAGCTAGTGAAGCCGCCTAGCGTCACCTGATTTCTCTACTAGAGAGTAGAGCTGCGCGGGGAAATTGCGAGAAGCTAGAATGGGCGTGGAGAGAGAGGAACACGAGAATTGGAATTGGCGTGGGAGCACCCGCCAGTGGTTTCGCTAGTGGGTGAGCGAGCCTGGGCGGAGGGATCCCAACATTGCCAACGCTGGCCAAAACCCACCGACGAATTCTTTCCCAGAGCCAACCTCGACTCGGCTGCTTGGGTGCTTTCCCGCCGCGGAATGTGAAAAGGGCAACGCGAGGCGACCAAAACGAGCCGCTATTTTTTTCCTTTGACGGAAAAGGCTCGGAACTACGCGGCAAAAGACCCTCAACGGCTTACGAATACCGGGAAAAAACGAAATACGAGTCTTGCTGGGAGGTTCGACACGAGATTCGGGAGACTTGGTGAATTGAATGGGGACACGGAATTGAATTGTTGAAGTGAATGTGATTCGAGCGGCGGACGAACCTACTGCTGGGGTCAATGCGACTCGAAGTAGCATGCGGCCATGGCCGATTGCTTTTGAGTCAGAGCCGAGTGGATGAGAAAATGAGCGAGTTTTGGAGGGAAAGAGAGGGCTGTAAGAGAAAAGCGGCGTACGCGATACTACTCTTTTGCCATCCAAAACTGACGTCATTCTTTTTAACGGCCTAACCTATTCATCAACATAGTAAAAAACTAAAGCTAGTGGTACTATTATGATGCTAAGTATTTCCGCGAAAAAAATATTTTCAAATTCTCCAAATGGATGATTTGGATAGAAATGAATTATTTTCGGAAGATATAGGATTTAGATGCAGTAAACATCCCATACATAATGCTTATCACCATACACACCCTCTGTGGGTTGAGTATACTTCAACAGTGGATGGTAAATATGATTTTAAACACATGAAAAGGTCAGGAGATGATAGTTGATCGGAGCCTCTCGAAAGAATTCATGAAGCTCGCTCACTCACATGGCCAAAACAATGCTGCTCTATTGTAGTGTTGAAGATTATGTAATGATGGAGCATCTGTAAAGAGTCCGCATTCACTGTTCCGTGGACAGCATGACAGCAATGCCGCCAGCTGCGGCGAGGTCAGAGATCGTGACGAAAATCCAGGGCTGTGTGCTGCAGTGGGCATTACGAATGTTCTGTTGCGAGAAGCGGCGACAAGTTTCGCTAGCGGGACCAGCCGTCTTACAGGGCTGATGCCTGGTTACCTTACACAGTCTTTATTCGTGGATGTCAGGTTCGTTGCGCGTTAGTTCCAAGGCTGTAAACGGCGTGCACGGATTGGCTGAGACGCGCATGGGCAAGCTCGATGGAGAACAGAGGTCGGGGCGCAGCAGTGGGCGGCGGGGAAAAGTGAAGTGACGCAACGCAACGCAAGGCTGCCATGCCGTGGTGACGAGCGCGCGGAAAAGCGGGCAGATTGCAGAGAGTGGAGGTGCTACAGCTGCAGTGATGCTCCCCTTGGAACTTGGTGCGAAGCGAAGGCCACCCCTGGGGTTTTTTGCTGATACCAGCAGGCCAGCCTCCCCTCGAATCTCTCAACCCTCCAGTCTCCAGTGTTGCTACTCTCCTCCAATCTTCATACAGGACTGTTGCCATTGAATTATCAAATCTGTTCTGCGGAATGTGGATTTGTGAAGGACCGCATCCAAATACCTTGGCGTACTATCACCATAAGGTATACGGGATCCTCACATCAATTAGAAACGCACTACACGTGTAGCGTGAGTAGCCTCCGTTGACACATTAGCACCGCGTTATTGGCGTGATTCCCTCGTCACGATGGTCGCTGGACCCTCGCCGTCGAATCCATGGCTGCAGTCGCGGAACGAATGCGGCGATGCCTGGCATTCGCTGCCTACCGGCTCGCCACACTCAGGTTCGCGTTCTTTCTCTTGCGTCTCTTCTTGCGACCACCGCCCTGTCACCATCAGGCGTCTCGTTCTCCCCCACTCCCCGCGTCCTCCTTCCCCGTTCTTATTTTTCGTTCCATAATTTTTTCGTCCAGCCCGCTTTTCAAATCCCGTTGTTTCAATTTCCTTAGAATTTCGATTCCACCTATTTTCTTGTTTTGACGTGCATCGTCGTGTATCTGCCGGGATCCTCGCAGCGGCGACGTGGGACGTGATCGACACGCCACCACAAGCGCGGAGCCCGCAAGTGGAATACAGCCGAGCCAGGAGCACTCCCAATAGCAGCAGCTGCAGGCGCAACACCCCAGGTACCGGCAGACCCCGCAGCTGGCTTCCGCCTCCCCCTTCCCTGCCGCCATGCTCCCACCAGTCGCCCGCGCAACCCTCCCCGCGTTCCCCTCCGTTTTCCGCGTGTTCCCCTTCTGCGCGATTCCTACCGCCTTCACCGCGGAAAGAGCTTCCGCAGATTAGCTCCCGTCCTTCCTCGCACGCTGCCTACCGCCGCATACCCGCACTCGCCGTCTGTGCTGCCCCGCGCGCTACGCCCGCCGCGAATGCCGCGAGGCCTGCCGCGTCGGACGGCTACCGCCTGCTGCCCACCGCGCCGTGCCTCGCGGAGGACTCCGCCGCCGTGCCGCACGCGCGCATGAACGACGCCGAGGCCGCGGGGAACGCGGGGGACGACGAGGGGGAATGCGGGGACGGTGGCGCGGAGATGGGGAAGAGGGGGACGAACGGGGAGAGCGGAGAGGGAATGGCGAGGGAAGGAGGTGGCGCGGAGCAGGCGGAGCAACGGGAAGCCGAGCGAACGTTGCCCGCGCGACTGGAGGAGTGGCGGTTGCCCGCGCGACTGGAGGATGGCGGGCGCGCGCTGTTGCGGAGAGTGCGCCGAGGGGTGAGTAGGCGGGGATGGCAGGGCGATGGGAGCATGGCACGGATTCTTAGAATCGCATCTGAGATTTCTGACCATTTTCCCTCGTCGATCTCCGCTCCCAGCTCTGCTTACCTCGTTCCCCGCCGTGTGTCCCCTCGTTTGCCCCCTTGCTGCTGCAGGGCTGTCCGCCGTACATGCGCAACGACGTGTGGCCGCTGCTGCTGGGCATGTAAGCCGGGCCATGCCAAATACCATGACATACATACATGCATGCATTCAAGGAAATGTTGGATTGCTGCATCTGCTGCACGAGCGTTAACGTCAAGCTGCATCGCTCAGCTCTGCACGCCTTTCCTGCTCAAATCTCAGCCTGAAACCATTCTTGCCGTCCTTCCCTCGTGCACCTCACCCCCCTCACTCCCGTGTCCCCCTCCCTCCCTGCGCCCCGGACAGCCACGCGCTGAGCAGCACGGAGGAGGAGCGCGCGCAGCAGCGCAGGGCGCAGGGCGCGTGCTACCAGAAGCTGCGCATGTGCGCGCGCATCCTCTCCAACCTGCACCGCCAGTCGCCCTCCGACCGCGCTGCCGTCACCGCTGTCGTCTCCCACGTCTGGACCACCGTCTCCGCCGCCCGCCCCGCTCTCGCTGCCTCTCACGCTGCTCCCTCGCATGCTCCCTCACATGCACATAGTCCGACCACACTGCCCCACTCTCCCAATCCCCCCCACTTGCACACGCTGCATCGCCAGGCCATTGTGGGGAAAGGGGGGTCTCCATGCAGCGGGGGCCGCGGGAATGGGGCGCCATGTAGTGCCAGTCCGGACAGTCGGTGCCGCGGCACAAGCAGTGAGAATGAGGGTGGTGATGGGGCTGGGAACCGCACTGGTAGCAGGACTGGCCTTCCAACCCCCACCACTCATCCTCCCACTGCCACCACGAGAACCACCGTGACGACTACTACGAGCACGAGCATCACCTCCCCCCAGCCGTCCCCTTCCCCCGTGGTAGCTGCCTCTCCGGCGTCGGCGCCCCTGGTGCTGCACGACCCTGTGGCGCTGCTGGCGGACTTCGGCGCGTGGCAGCGCGCCATCCGCCTGGACGCCATGCGCCTCAGCGCGCACTGGAACCCCTTCTGGGGCACGGGCGACGGGGACGACGGCGAGGAGGGCGGGGAGGGCGGGGGAGAGGCACGGGTGGCGTGGGCGCAAGACAGACAGGGGGCAGGAGGGGCGAGGGGGGCAGGGAGAGGAGCAGGCAAGAGTTGTTTGGATGGGGGGAGGGCCGGGGGGGAGTTAGTTTGTGCTTCAGCGCCAGACACTGACGTTGGGCTTTGTGAAAGGAACTGTAGCAACGACAGTAGCTACGGCAGCATCATAAGCATGAGCAGTATTGGCAGCAGCAGGAGCAACAGCAGCAGCAGCGGTGCAGAGTGGTGCGCGCAGGTTCATGAGGAGGAGGAGGCGGTAGAAGCAGCGTTGGACGAGGTGCAGCTGGGCGAGGAGGAGGGGCTGATGCGGCACACAGCAGCGCAGCGCATGCACGTGGCGCGCGTGGTGGCGGTGCTGGAGGCGTACACGCTCGTGGATCCCGAGGTCGGGTACTGCCAGGGCATGTGCGACGTGGCGGCGCCCTTCGTGGCCACCATGCCGGAGAACGCGGATGCGTTTGCGGCCTTCTTTGCATTCATGCACGGCAGGTGGTGGAGCACAGCGGGTAGCTGCACCACCAACCACTCACGCACACCCCACAGCCCCTACCAGCACCACCTCTCACCGTCCTCCCCCTCTCCATCTCACACCATTTCCTCTCCGTTTACCTCTTCCCCGTTTTCCTCCTTCCGCCCCTCCTCCTCCACCCAATGCGTGAGGTCGCCGTACCGTCCTCCCTCGTCGACTTCCCTCTTCCCCTCCGCATCCTCCTCCTCCACCCGCGCCACACAGGGATGGAGCCCCAAGCTGCAAGGCGGGGTGCGCAGGCTGGGGGCTGCCATTGTGCCGCTGCCACACCGCCACCAGCGCCCAAGCCAGCAGCAGCAGTTGTCCCCGCACCAGCTCATGCAGCAGCAGCAGCAGCAGCATCATAGCAGTGCGCACTGGTCTCCTGGTGGTGGGACAGGCACGCCTGAAAGGTGGGAGAGGAGTGGGTACCAGCATGCAGTGAAGATTGCCAGTGCATGTCACACAGGGAATAGCAGCAGCAGTCGCAGAATCCTCCAAGACACAGACATCAAGACTGGCAGCAGCAGACTCCCCTTACAGAGAGAGTCTTTCCACCATGCAGCACGGCCCCCCGCCACAGCCTGCGCATACCCCCCCTTCCACCGAGCCACCTCTCTGCCCAACCCAACCACCCCGGCGCCCCCGCTCTCTCCAGCCACACCCCCTCCTTGCCCTGCCTCGTGCGCATCCCCCCCTGACGTGCACGGCATGCGCCTCAACTTCCTGCTGGACGAGTCGGGCATCCACCGCCAGCTCGCAGCGCTGGGCCGCATCCTCCGCCTCGCAGACCCCGAGCTGTACGGCCACCTGCGCGACATGGGCGGCGGGGACTGTCTGTTTGCGTACCGCATGGTGGTTGTGGGCATGCGGCGGGACCTGCCCCTGGCACAGACGCTCTTGCTGTGGGAGGTGTGCTGGGCTGACGCGCTGGCTGCTGCCATGGTGGAGGGAGCACAAGAGCAGCAGAGGGAGCAGGCGCAGGTGGGGAAAGAAGAGGAGGGGAAGCAGTTGGCGTGCAAGATGGGGATGAGCAGTGAGCAGGTGTGGGTTGGGGAGGTGTCTGGGTTTGACGATCACAAGGAGAACGTCGTGATGGCAGAGGGCGCAGCAGATTACATGGATGGGAGGAGTGGATATGGCAACCGGCAGCCAGGGGGTGTCAAGGCTCCTCTAACCCATACTAGCAAGGTGTGCACAGCAAAAGAACCCTGTGTGGATGGAAGAGGGTTGCATTGCTGTGTGCCTGTGATTTCTCCATGTCTTCTTGACAAGAAGCAGCAGGGCTGTCCTGCTGAGGGAGAGGAGGAAGAGGAGCTGGGATCGCCAACAGGGAGCCTCCTTCTGTTTGTTGTGGTGGTGCTGATATGCTCCCAACGGAATGCGCTTCTGGAGTGTGAAGGCTTGGATGAAATTTTGCTGCTTTGCCACGGTGTTACCAAGCAGAATAATTTGGACCTTCGTCAAGTAATTGCGGAGGCAAGACTATTGGCAGTGAGGTTGTATGGTTGTTGGTGACATGCGAAATGTTGTGATTTACAATATATTGGTATTTCTCTTAAAGTTGTCGATAATGGCTTGAGACAAATGGTTCACATCACACTATTTTCTCCTGTTCCGCCCCATCCTGTCACATCCATTAAAAGCCCAGCATACCTTTGACTTTTTTCCGAGCCTGTGTGGGTCCATATGTCCAACCAATGGACTTGACTGGTTTTCACTGCCGAGGCAGAATGCTGGAGCCCTGGCCTGACTGTCTGTGGCTTGCTGAGGAACATGTACCTTCTCCTAGTCACTTGATTGGAGGAGATTGCGCCTGACCAAACCCACCATGCCTTCCGCCGTCAACCAGAGCAAAATACGCGACGCGGGGTCAGGCAGGCTCGTCATCGTAGCTTCCGGGAGCACGAGCCACCCAAACCAGGCGAGCCGCTCAACAGCCCGCACGTCTGTCCGCATCCGAACCGACCGCGGCGCAAATGTCGCTAGAGTGTCTCGCCGTGCAAAGCGCGGCCCCCGCGAGAAGTGACATTGGGTTTACAGGCGCGTGTGCTGCTGCTGCCCCCGCCTTGCCTCGTACAGTACGTACGTGACTGCTGCCTTGCCTCCTTGCTCTCTTCTCCACTCAAGGGGGCTTTTAGGCTGTGGCCTGCACAGGAGAAAGCTCTGCTCCCACTCATCATTTTCCTCGAGATTGATTCTCTCAACTCGTCCGTCAGTGGGGAGAGTAGGAGTTGAATCTGCTTCCGGGCTGAGTTTTTGCTACTACACTATGGTGCCTTTGTAGACGTGCCTATGTTCTCTGTACCGCAAACTATTTGCGCTAGCGGCCCCGAGCATTCCGCTATGTTTCCCTGCATCCATGATCGCGACATGCAACTAGCGCATCTGCTAGAGCCGAGCCCACTGATCTCAGACTAGGTCATTTCATTCCACGACCCTCGTAGCTCACTCCGTTAGGCCTCCTTCCCCGAGAGAATTCCCATCGTTCCGCGTTTTCTGGCATACCGCATCGTCACGATGAGCCTGTTCGCACGAAAGGCCATGACACACCGTGAGCCGGTAGCGCGGCATGTGGCCATGCTGTCAGCGCTCGTGCTGTGGCTGTGCGTCGGCCCCGCATCAGCCGCTGATTGGGAGGCCCTGGCGCGCGTGCTGGATCCAAAGGGCTCGGTGCTCACCACGTGGACCAATCAGCAAGATCCCTGCTCGCCCACTCCCTTCACGGTTCGCCGCCCCTTCCCGTCCCTTTTCTTGCCTGACCCTCCTCATTTCCTCTTCGCGCCTGCTGCCTTCCCTTCTTTCACGCTCACCCTCAAAATAAACCCAATCAAGATTCGCCGATCCCATCGCATGTGCGCTGCCGCCGTCCCTCGCAGCAAGCTCCCCACGCATCTCCCAACACCCCATCTCCCTCCTCCCCTCTACAACCCCCACCCTACTCTCTCCCCGCCCCCTACCCGCGCCTCCCCGCAGGGCGTGCGGTGCGACGGCACCAACAACGTGGTGGCGGTGGACCTGGCGAATCGCGGGCTGGGCGGGCAGGTGCCGGAGGAGCTGGTGCAGCTGTACGGCGTCACCACTGTCAACCTGCAGGGCAACGGGCTCACGGGCGCGCTGCCCACTTCGCTCAATAGCCTCGCGAACCTGCAGGCGCTGCTGCTGTGCTGCAACCAGCTCGCGGGGCCGCTCCCTGAGTTGTCGTCGCTGTCGCAGCTGACGATCCTGGACCTGTCGCACAACCAGCTGAAGGGCAGCATTCCCAACTGGGTCTCCGCGCTCTCACAGGTGCGCTCGTCGCTCGTGCCGCTTATGCCTGCCTTCCCTCCGATCCTTATCAATTGCGACTGATTTCCGTACTCTCGTCTCTACCTCACTACCGCCCATCATCCACGCTCAACTCATTTTCCACCTTTCTCCGCCTCTCCCCCCCACGGCAGCTGCAATACCTGGAGCTGAACTCGAACCGCTTCAAGGGCTCGCTCCCGCGGTCGCTGTCGGCGCTCACCACCCTGCGCGACCTGCACGTGGACGGCAACAAGCTCAGCGGCAAGGTGTCTCAGTCGCTCGCCTTCCTCTCCGCCACCGGCGCATCTTTCAACTTCACGCAGGCCCCTGGCGGCGCGCTATGCGGACCCCCCGAGCTGGGCCTGCCGCCGGAATGCGCCGCGCCGTCGACCCCCGCGCCTCCCGCCGGGGATTCCGGTTCGTCGCAGCCTTCCGCTCCGCCCGCCGCTAACACCCCGGGTACTGGTTCGGGCGCTGACTCCGCCCCTGCCCCCAGCAATGGCAATTCCGCTCCTCTTTCCGCCGAGACTTCCGCATCTCCCGCTGGCAACTCGTCGTCCACGGCGACGGCCCCGCCGTCGGGCGGCTCGAGCTCGGCGGTGGTGATAGTTGCGGGCGTGCTTGTGGGCTTGGCGGTGCTGCTGGCGCTCGCCATTGGGCTGCTGCTGTGGCGCATGGGGTGGTGCGGACGGCGCAAAGCCGCGCGAGCGCTTTCCGGCGCCAAGTACGCACAGCCTCCTAAGGATGCCGCCGAGGTGCGCCTTAATATAGTCGACGGGCCTATCCCGCCCAGTAAGGCAACAGCCGCTTCAGGCGGCGGGATCGACGCCGCGAAGCACGGGGAGGACCAGCCGCTTACCGCGTTCGTGCCGCCAGTGATCCACGTAGCAGCCAATAAGACGGCTCCTGACAACTCCACGTGGAAAACTGACGTCAGCCCGTCGCCGTCGTCACGACATCCTTCCGCCTCGCGTCCGCCGCTCCCTCCCCCCCATGCGGGCACAGTTCCCCCCTCCGCGGAAGGCAGGGGGAAGGGCGGAAGCAGCGGGGATGGCGGGGACGAGAGCGGAGGGGTGGTGGGCAGGTATGCGGCTGCAGTGGCGGCAACAGCGTCGACGGCGAGTTCAGGGGGGAGGGTGGGGGGATGGGGGAAGAGACGGGGGAAAGCGGAGGAGGGGGAAGCGGCGATCGGGAGTGTGGGAGCGAGCGTGGCGGGGGGCGCTGGCGCTGGTGCGGGCGCGGAACGGGAGGGGAATGTCGGAAGTGCGGGCGGCGGGGACGCGGGTGATGAGAGATGCGTTGCGCCGGTGAGCCTTGCCACTGCAACCACAACCGCGATAACCGCCGCTGCTCCCGCTCCTGCGCCTCCCGCGGGTAGTGAAATCCCCCAGTCGCCGTCGTCGTCGTCCGCTGTCTCCGCGACCACCACCGCCTCCAGCGCCATCAGCACCGCCTCGCGCGCACCACCGGCGCTTGCGGACGCCGCCGCGCCTGCCGCGGGCGGGCAAGGCGCAACGTCGGAAGCGCGCAGCGCGGAAGAGGAGACGCAGCAGGGGGAGGAGGGGGAGGGGGAGGAGGATGAGGACAAGGGGAGCGAGTGCAGCAGCAGGAGCGCGTCTTCCTCCCCGACGAGCCGCTGCAGTGGCAGCGAGGGAAAAGGCGGCGAAAGCAAGGGCAATGCGGCGGAGAGCAGCATTGGCAAGGCGGGTGCGGGTGCGGGGGAGAAGGGCGTGGCGGCGGAGAGCAGCAAGAGCAACAGCCGGAGCGCGAGCACGGTGAGCAGCGCCGCAGCCGCTGCGGTGTCGAGGCTGCTGGGGCGGTGGCGGCAGTCGCACAAGGAGCAGCAGCACGGCGCGGGCAGTGCCAGCAATTGCACGAGTGCGTCAACGCACGACGCGGCGGGAGGGAGCGCGGAGGATGCGGCGGAGGGGAAGGGAAGAAGCGGGGAGGCGGACGAGGAGGTGTCGAGCAGCGAGGAGAGTGGGGAGGAGGTGGAGGGGGGCGGGGGCGCAGAGGCGGGGGAGGATGAGGTGGTGGAGAGCGCGCCGCCGCAGCAGGCGGAGATCAGCGGCGGCGAGCGGATGAGGAGTTTGCCCTCGTGGGCCGCAGCTGCCAGAACAGGCACGGCTCCCGCCGCCGTCACCGCCGCCGCATTTGGCGCTGCTGGTATTGCGGCAGCAGGGCAGACAGGGGGGTTGCATGAAAGTGCAAGCAAGGAGCCGGCTAGCCCTGTGATGACTCCGCGGACCAATCACGGCGTGTCACCTGCGCTGTCGCCGCAACTGCACCCGCCCGTCATCATTCCCCCCGTTGTCCCCCTCCCCTCCCTCCGCTCGCTCCCCGCCGCCTCCCGCTCCTCCGCCGCGGCTGCCGCCATGCCGCGCGTGTCTTCCGCTGGAGGGAGTGCGGGAGGTGCGGCGGCAGCTGCCAGGGCGGTCGCCACGTCACCGCAGCAGCAGCTGCATCAGCAGCCGCCGCCGCCACAACTCGCGCTCGACGACGCCCTCCGACTCCCGCCCGCAGCCGCCGCCGCAAACGCGGCGGTAGACCCGCTGCCTCCTCCGCCTTCCCTCCTCCCCGCGTCTGCGCCAGGTGCAGCGGTGGCGGGACTGCGCCCCGCGTACGGCGCGGCGGGGCGGGCGCTGAGAGCGGCGGACCTGGAGGACGCGGAGGACAGGCAGGCGGACGGCGATAGGAGGGGGGAAGTGGGCGCGGGTGGCTCCGCCGCTTCCGCCTCTGCCGCTGGTGCGCATCTCGCAGACCTGTCACTGTCGCCGGCATCTAGAATCAACGGTTCGGATGGCATTGCGATGCAATCTGACGACGGGAGTTGCGCGGGGAGCGTAGCGGGCGCGGGCGGGGAGCTGCGGTGGTTCTCGTTCGGGGAGCTGGCGATGGCGACGAACGAGTTCGGGCGCAACGCGCAGCGCAACGTGGTGGGCGTTGGGCGGTACGGCACGGTGTACCGCGCGCGGCTGGCGGACGGCAGCACGGCCGCGGTGAAACGACTGTCGCAGTACAAGTGAGTACTGCCGTCCGTCGCACCATAGACTCTATCTCCACTTGAACTGGAACTACTTGACCACGTTGACTCCTCCCTCTATCTTCCCTCTCCCCCCCCCCCCCATGGACGCCATAGACTCTCTATCTCCCTGCTTCACCTTCTCCCTTTCCCAACCTCCACTGAGCCCTGCATCCTCTATCTCCCCACTCCCCCCCCCCCCTCCTTCCCCCTTCCCCCCGCCAGTCCCGACCAGACCCCCCGCGAGTTCCGCTTCGAGGTGGAGACGCTGGCGACGCTGCGCCACACAAACCTTATTGCGCTCATCGGCGGCTGCTGCGCCGAGCCTGGCGAGTGTGGCTCGGCGGCGGGCGCGGAGAGGATGCTGGTGGCGGAGTACGCGGCCAATGGGAGCCTGGACACGTGGCTGCATCCTGATGACGCCACGGCGGGAGCCAATGGCGGGGCGCAGATGGAGGCGATTGATTGGCCGATGAGGATGCACGTGGCTGTGGGATGTGCGAGAGGGTGAGTGCGTTGAGTGGTGAGATGTGGGATAGTGGGAGGGGGGGCCTAGGGGGGGGGGGGGGGAGTGGTGAAGAGTCTCACTCTCTCGTGCCGTCCAGCCCTCATGGTCATCGTCCTCAATTCCCCCCCCCTCCTTCCCGACCTCCTGCAGTACCCACCCCCCCAACCCCAACTCATTCTCTCCCTCCCCTCTCCCCCTTCCCCTCTGCTCTCCCCCCACCAGGCTGGCGTACCTGCACGATGTGCGCGTGGTGCACAGCGACGTGCGCGCGGCCAACGTGCTGCTGGACCACGGCTGCCACGCACGCCTCTGCGACTTCGCCTTCTCGCGCATCGTCGGCAGCGACCCCAAGCACGCCACCGCGCGCCACGCCCTGCGCTCCTTCGGGTCAGTCGCCTGGGCTGTCACAGTAGCGCTTGTGCTGCTGCTACCGCTGCTGCTGCTGCTACTACTGCAGCTGCTACTGCTGCTGCTACTGCGGCTGCTACTGCTGCTGCTACTGCGGCTGCTACTACAGCTTCTACTGCTGCTGCTACTGCGGCTGCTACCCATAGTTTCATGCACCTCCTCTGTTCACTCTGGTTGCTTCATGTCACTCTTTTCTTGCCTCGTTATACCCCCCCTTGCCCCCCCATACCTCGTCCGTGCATCCACTCCCCCCCCCACAGGTACATGGCCCCCGAGTACATGAACACGGGCGTGCTGACGGAGCGCAGTGATGTGTACAGCTTCGGTGTGCTGCTGCTCGAGATCATCACCGGCAGGCCGCCCATCGACAGCCAGCGACCCTCACACGAGGTACCATATAACCATTGCCAATCCCCACCCCACCTCACTCGCACCCCTTTTGCTGTGTTCCTCTGCTCTGCTTCCCCACTGCTGACCTTGTCACGCCATTGACTAGTCCAACTCATCCCACACCACCCCCCTCCCCCTAAACCCTAAACCCTCAGTCGAACCTAGTGAAGTGGGCGAAGCAGATGGCGGCGGAGGGTCGCTTCCTGGACATGCTGGACCCGCGCCTGTGTGCGCCCGATGCCGTGGCGGCGCCCGTGGCCATCGAGGACGCCACGTATGTGGTGGGCGTGGCGCTGCGGTGCCTGGAGCCCAACGCGCTCAAGCGCCCCAAGATGAAGCAAGTCGTGCACATGCTCGAGAGCGAGGACCCCAGCCTGGTGCGTGTGCCACCCATGCTTGACAATTTTCAGCAGATTCATTAACATCATTAGCACTTAAATTATCACCATACCTTTGGGGTTCTTGCATTGGGATTTCTTCTAGACTCTTACTGACGACTCACCATGCCTTTCCCCTCCCTCATATTCTCTTCTCTCCCCCCTGACCCCCCCCACCCCAGAGGGAGGACTGGGTGGCAAGGCGGCCATCCGTGACCCCCCGTGCGCTGCGCGACACGAGCCCCTCATGGTCCGCGGCGCGGGCCTTCACCGACTCCCCCGCGCGCACCAGCCCACGCTTCGCCCACTCCTCGCCGCGCCACATCGACCCCACCTCGCCCTTGACCGGTTCTGCCGCTGCCGCCTACAGCACTGCCATGGGCTCAGGTACTGGTGCTGGCAGCAATGGCGCTGCTGCCCCTGGGTCCGCCCCGTTCCGCGGTGCGAGTCCGCGCAGCGGGTTCTCCCCCACGGCGGCCAGCCCCAAGGCGGCTGACATCGGCAGCATGATCACCAGCGCTGCCATGCGTGGGAGCAGCCCACACCATGCGGGGCACAGCAACAGCAGCAACAATATTGCCATGGGGAACACACCCACCCACAGTGCCACCACTGGTCATAGCCCCACTGCTCCGTCCCATGGCTCCTCCTCACCCTACCACACTGCCACACACCCCAGCACATCCCCGTACCATCAGCACCATCATACGCATGGCTCTGCTGCAGCAGCCGCTGCACTGGCAGCTGCAGCAACCACAGGGGGGTATGGGCAGAGCCCTCCGCCCTACCGGCTGCAGACTGGCAGCCCCGCCTCAGCAGCAGCCACGGCAGCAGCAGGGGCGTACGGGCAGAGCCCACCGCACTTTGGGCAGAGTCCCAGGGCTGCAGCTTTCCTTGCAGGCATTGCAAGTGGTGCAGGCAGTGTAGGTGGCGCCAGTGCTGGTGCAACAGGGGCTGGGTATGGTGCTGCTGGGGGAGGGATGGGCATGGCTGTAGGGGGCATGTATGGGGGAGGCATGGGAGGACCAGCAGCAGGAGGGGTATATGGGCAGAGTCCCAGAGCACCAGGGTACTACGGGCAGAGCCCTAGAGCATCTTCAGTGTACGGTCAGAGCCCCACTGCTCCCTCGTACTACGGCCACAGCCCCACTGCCCGGGGCACCAGCCCGTCTTCTGCAGCATCACGCGTTGTGGGGTCAAGCCCCAGGGCTCTCAACTATGGGGGAGATGGCACTGCGGGGAACATCATTGCGAGCCATGCCATGAGCATTTCCAGCCGTCGGATGCCATCGTGGAGCAGGAGATAAAGTGTGTGGGGGGGCAGGGCGATGGGGAGTTCACAGTGGAATAGAGGTGTGTTGTAGTGTGGATGTAAAAAAGAAGAGGTGTGTGCCTTTATTACAGCAATAATATAGTAAGCTTCTTTAGGGCGTATTCCCATTTTACCGTGTTCAGTACCAGGAACCTAACTTTGCGAATCACCTAATGGAACCGCACAGAAATTCGCGTTTCGGCCCTCAGACTCGATTTTGGGTTTGCTGGTACTGAAGACCGTCCTGTAGGAATACGCCCTTAGTTACCTTCCCGAAGGTCTTTTACATTCATGGTTTTTGTAGAACAATTTCTGCGTTCTCTTGAATTAAAAGTAAAAAACATGAGCTTGTCCGAGTAGCTTCATGCATGAGCGCACTGGGCCACACGCAACCCAAGCCTCCCTCCCAAGCCAAGTGGTACAATGGAAATGCAACTCTGGATGGAGCAGTCAGTGTAAAAAAAACAACTCTTTTAGTATGACATCAATTTACACCTTAATCCTCCAATAACTGGCGACGTTTATGGACAGATTGGGCAGATTGGTGAGCGATTCAATCGCCCTTTCTGCGGAAGGAGCAGCCTTCTGTGAGTCTGGCTTTGCCACCAGTGGGCTGGCACAGCACGGTGGAGCAGCTGCCACACAGCACCACTGTCTGCGAATGGCTGAACACAGTCGTGCTGGAAAACAGAGCAGGCGGGAAAACACAAACAAGAGAGCAGGGGAACGGAGAATCAGACCACCATTTATGGAGGTACGGGGAAGGTTATCCTAAGCAAATGCAAGAATCAAAACTTACATGTTAAAGCAACCTTGACACTTGACATCCTGAAAACCACAGGTAAAAGGGGAGAGGAGGGGAAGGAGAAGACAGAAAAAGGTTAATACGAGTGCTTGCCCGGAGGAACAGAGCTATACGATGCGAGTGCACTGGTCTGCCCGTGTGGGCCTACGAACTCACCATGAAGAAGCTGTTGGGCGTGGGCACCAGTCGCTTCATCTTGTGCTTGCGCTGCTCCAGCTCCATTGGAGGGTGCAGCAGATCGATATCGTTTGACAGCACCTGCACTCATCAAGATAAAGGAATTGACATCAATACATTGAGCCGGGTTGACTGAGCGTATCGTGTCAGCGTGATGTCATTGCCGCTTCAGGTGTGCGGATGTTTGCCACAGACCGAAGAACACTCTGCTCAAACTGCAGTATCTCGTGGCTATGTAGAAATCCGCTCCTATTTGTCCCGCACAAATGTGTGCCCGATATTTGAAAAGGCATACAAAAACAATGTATCTTAAACGGCCTAAGATCGATCGCCAAACCGGAAGGGTCAGTTCCTATAGAAAGCAGGTGGATTCCGGCCTGAAGATTCGACGCCAAGACAACGATAATCTTGTAAATCTACACTACGAAACAGAAACTACGATTGACATCGACGGCCTTTCTCAACAGCGAAAGGGAATAATGGACAAACCATGGTGATAGCAGGGAGGGCTGAGATTGGCAGCTGTGTTTGTAAGAAATAGGGTTTGTAGGTAGTGCTCCTCAGTGCAGAGAAGGCGCCCCAGCAGCAATTCTAGTGAAGGAAGTGGTGGGGCGAGGAGAATTCAAAAGAGACAAACGGAAAGAGAAGGGGAAGATTGAGGGTGAGACTCGGGTTTTATAGTGCCCCCACCTCAACAGTCGGCGAACGCATCCCCCATCCCTTGTTGCTTGTGGCGAAAGTTTTTTGGTGAACGCACCAATCAGATCGGCCCGTTTACCATCATTCTCGAACTTCAGGTTGTGGAGAGCATGGGAGTCGCACATCGCAAATCTCCCCCTACGCGACACTGGGAGTCGCCGAATCCGTGTCGCTCACGCATCCAGTGCCGTTATCCCCAAACCTCGGAAATCGAAAATTCTTGAACCCAACGGGACTTGCTCGAAGTGTACTCTGCATCGTATTCATTCCATCAGCCAGCAAGTGTAGCCCGTGTTCCATAACAAAACATACAGAAACGAGGATCTGATCCCTTGGTGTCAGTCCCGAGGCGGCCCGGCAAATTGTTGTCAGTTGGGTCTTCTGCTTCCCATTCCCTGCCTCTCCTGGCAATTCTCCGTTCCTTCCCACCATTCTCTGGGACTTCTCGGTTCCTCCCATGACCATCCCTCATGCTCTTCTAGATGGCCCTTGGGAGTGTCCGATCGAGTCCATGAAACCATTCAGGTTGCAGCGACATAACGACGTTCGTCCTTAAGTTCTGTAGTTCGTTCTAGGACATAGTAGATTCCTCCGTGTAGATCATTTGGCAGGCACTAGTTATGGCATTCTAGGCTCGTTGTTTCGGTCTCCATAAAGCTGTGCTTTGCAACGGTGGCTGTAGTTAACCGATGGCGTTGAAAGGGGTTGTTGATCAGCTGACGGTTGCCAGGGAGCACGCCACGCTCGGAAACTACGACAGCGCGCTGATATATTACGATGGGGTCATTTCGCAAATAAACAAGTGAGGATGTGCACGACTCTTATATGAATCCTAATCTAGACCTTGGACAGGAATCCAAGTATCTTCATCTCGCATCTCCTGGCCGTTGTGTAGCTAGAGTCTCATTATTTAAGCTAGCAGCTTGCAGACTTCTTGTAGATGTCCTCTGTCCTCGTTTCATGTAGCTTTCACGTCATGCGGAGAATACTTACCTCGAACAATCATCTCCTGCTTATTTCTCACATGTCTATCATTCACGTGCTCCGTCCTGCTTCCATCCTGCTTCCATCCTGCTTCCATCCTGCTTCCATCCTGCTTCCATCCTGCTTCCATCCTGCTTCCATCCTGCTTCCATCCTGCTTCCATCCTGCTTCCATCCTGCTTCCACAACATCAGGCACCTGCAGACGGTGGACGATCCGTACACGCGGTCCAACTGGGTGTCGTGCAAGCAGCAGGTGCAGGAGGAGTTGGACCTCACCAAGGCCCTCGACTACGAGCGCCAGGTCTTCAAGGAGCCGGCGGGCTCCGCCGCCTTCGCCTGCAACCCCCGATACACCAACGGCCACTCGCCCGTCCCTTCTGCCAGGCACCACGACGACGCCTTCGCCTCGCCGTTCGAGCCGCAGGATCCCGACGTGTGGAGGCCGGCGCCCAACAGAGACCTCACTTCCCCCACAAATAACCGCCGTGCGTCCGCTGTCAGCCGCGTAGGCGGAAGAGCAGGCGGCGGGTTTGACAGCGGTAGCAGGCACAGCAGTCGAGGAACCTCTCCGGGGTCGTTTGGTCGGTCGCCTGGAGCACAGGGCGTTGGCAGTGGGAGTAAAGCGGCGCCTGGCGGGATAGCTGGGGCGCGCTCGCGCATAGGAGGCGCAGGGGCTCGCAACAGCCTGGGCTCGGATGCGCAAGCGTCGAAGCGAGCAGGCGCGGAGAGGGCGGCGGAGAGAGGGGGAGACGCGCGGGGCAGACGAGTGTCCGTGGGTGCCGTGATCAACAGCGCTGTTGGCAAGCCCAGGGATCCCAAAGGCCCGCCCAGCGACCCACCATCGGTACGAGCTCCTTTTCTCAGCACGGTCACATGGGGTTCTGCCGCTTGCACATGTTGACATGCTGTTGCGTGTTTCAGTGTTGTGTGTTTCAGTGCTTTTCACGTGCTGTTGTCCGTTTAATGTATTGCAATGGCGTTGTGGATGGCAGGAGGAGGAGGGCAAGGAGTCGATCCCGCGCAAGCCACGGTTCGAGGGCTCTGACCCCGAGCTGGTGGCGATGCTGGAGCGGGACGTGCTGGAGTCATCGCCTGGCGTGCGCTGGACGGACATCGCAGGCCTCAGTGAGGCCAAGCGCCTGCTGGAGGAGGCTGTCGTGTTGCCCCTGCTCATGCCCGACTACTTCCAGGTGCGTTACAATGGAGGGGAGAGGAGCTGTGCCATGCTCAGCTCATTCCTGCTGCTGCCCTTCCCTCACAGCTCCTCGTCATGCTAGGTGCTCATCCCTGACTTCTCTTTTCTACTCTCGTGTAGTATCAGAGAGTGCTGCCAGTAGTGGTATCGTGCACGTTGCCAATCTTTGCGCCATGCTCCGGCTGCAGGGCATCCGGCGGCCGTGGAAGGGCGTGCTGATGTTTGGGCCGCCCGGCACCGGCAAGACGCTGCTGGCCAAGGCAGTGGCAACGGAGTGCGGCACCACCTTCTTCAACGTCTCCTCCGCCACGCTCGCCTCCAAGTGGCGCGGCGAGAGCGAGCGCATGGTGCGCTGCCTCTTCGAGATGGCCCGCGCCTACGCGCCCTCCACTGTGTTCATTGACGAGATCGACTCGCTGTGCACGTCAAGAGGGTGAGCTCGTCAAGAGGTTGACCTGGACAATGTAGATGGGCTTGTCTTCTTTAGTAGGTGTGTCCTTTTGCAGCCTCTGGACACAGATGTTCCTGCAACCTGCCATCACGCAGGTGGGTTTACAGGCCCAGGCATTAACCCTTTCCACTCTCTCCCCCTTTCCCCCCTCCCCCCACCCCTTTCCCCGTTCACCCCTTTCCCCATAATCCCCTGCTTTTCTCTTGAAACGTTCTTGCAGTGCGGCGGGCGAGCACGAGTCGTCGCGGCGGGTGAAGTCGGAGCTGCTGGTGCAGATTGATGGCATGAACAACGCCGCGTCGCCTGATGGCGAGCGCAAGATTGTCATGGTGCTCGCCGCCACCAACTTCCCCTGGGACCTGGACGAGGCCCTGCGGTGAGCAATGGGGCACAGTAGGGGAAGGGGGGAGGGGAAGTGGGGGGAGCAGGGAGGGGTGGGGCCATGAGAGGGGAAAAAAGGCGAGGTCTCGAATGTGGCATTGAGGAAGCAGGATTGACATTGATAACAACTTTAAACCTGGTGGTTGGCTTGAGAACAATACCGTGAGAGTTTGATTATGACTTGCTGTTTTTTGCCTCCCTTGCCTGGCTTGTGCAGCCGTCGGTTGGAGAAGCGCATCTACATCCCTCTGCCACCGCACGACAGTCGAGCTGCCCTTATGAACATCAACCTGCGCTCCCTTGAGGTGTGGCCTTGCTCTTGATTTTGTTTTTTCAATGTATTCTGTTGTCTCACTCTTGCTCTCACTTTCGCTCTCGCTCTGTCTCACTCTAGCTGTGTTGAGCTGGCCGTTCCCACCTTCATCCCTTTTATTCGTCTCCCACTTCCTTGGTGCTCTGCCATTGTTACACTCATCATCTGCTTGTATTTTCCTGGCAACGATGGCTTCTCTAACACCCATGACACCCCAGCTGGCTACTGATGTGGATGTTGATGAGCTGGCGAAGCGCACTGATGGCTACAGTGGGGATGACATCACCAACATCTGCAGGGACGCGTCTATGAATGGCATGAGGCGGAAGATAGCAGGGAAGACACCTGAGGAGATTCGGAGCATGACACGGGACGACATGAACGAGCCCGTGACCATGGCTGACTTTGAGGTCGCTCTCAGGAAAATCCAGCCCAGCGTTGCCTCAGGAGACATTGAGCGGCATGAGCGCTGGCATGCAGAGTTCGGCTCGTACTGAGTACTGATTTGAAGACGATGGGGTAGGGCGGTCGAGCATATTGGATTGTTGTGTATATTCTCCATGGGATTCATGAGCAAGTGGGGGTGCTTAGAAGTTAATGTGCAGCCTTAACTTGAACATTGCGGTCGTTTTCCATAGTGTGTATGATGCAAAAAGTAAAATTAAATCCCTTATTGATAAAATACATTTTTTTTTTTGGGTTGCGGAGAAACCTATTGCAATCGATCTGACAAGTTTTTTTTTTAACCCAAATTTTCCAATCTCGAAAATAATAAACAAATGTTTTTTTCACGCCGTAAGAAGCGTAATATACACTGCATGGGTATATAATAATATACACACCATAGATGTAATAAAATACGGTAGCTGTTTTTTTTTGTAGACCAAGACAATAATATTATTGTGTGTTTCGCTTGAATATTGTTCTTTCATGAACACCTTACTGGTACTTGGAATCTAATATTCCTTCTGTACGGAAATACGTTGTACCAGTATGAAGTGTTGGAAAACAAATCGATGTATAGTTGTTTCCATCACTTAGTTCTTTTTTCGATGATAATAATGAACTATTGCTTCCCCAGTGCTAGCATGGGGGGGAAGACAACAGCAACAAAAACAATTCTAGAAGTGAACTGCCAAACATATTTGTAAAAACCACATAGGGGCATGCCTTAGAGAGTACAGCTAATTTGGTAAAAACCACTGTACCCTTGTTGCTAGTTTATTCCGCTACTCTAAGATGGTATCAGCTTAGGTTAGGTCCGCCCACCAGCTTCCGCCCTAGCCCTAGCCTTAGCGCCCCGCTGGCCATTAGCGCCCCGCTGGCCCTGCGCGCCCTCTGGCCCCTTTCCGTGCCGCCAGCCCCCTTCGCGTCCTGGTGGCCCCTCGTGCCCCGCCAGCCCCCTTTCGCGCCCCGCTGGCCCTTAGTGCCGCCAGCCCCTCTTGCACCCCGCTGGCCCTTCGCGCCCCGCCAGCCCCCCCCGCCATTTCGCGCCCCACTGACCTCCTCATCCGCCGCCAGCCCCTTTCGCGCACCGCTGGCCCTTTCGCGCCTGCTGGCCTCCTCACACGCCGCCCGCCCCGTTCGCGCCCCGCTGGCCCTTCGCGCCCCGCTGGCTCTTCGTGCCCCGCTGGCCCTCCGCGCCCGCTGGCCTCCTCACACGCCCCCAGCCCCTTTCGCGCCCCGCTGGCCCTTCGCGCCCCGCTGGCCCTTTGCGCCCCGCCAGCCCCTCATTTGCGCCCCGCTGGCCCCTAGCGCCCCACTGGCTGTTCCGCGCCCCAGCCAGCCCTTAGCGCTCTGCTGGCACCGCTAGCGACGCGCTGCCCACCCCCCCCTCTTTGCGCCTCTCTGGCCCCGTGTGCCCTTGCGCCCCACGCCTGCCCTCGTTCCTTCCGTCCCCGGCGTGGCGCCGTACCGTCGTGCCGTCGCTGTGCCGCCTTGCCGCCGCCGAGCCGTCGTGTCGCTGTACCGTTTGTTAAATTATATATATGTTATATAATTGTAGGCTTGGTAGGTGTTACTGAAACTTATTGTAGAGGGTACAACACCCCTCCTTGTATCCCTCTCTCTTCTATTCTATTCTCTCGTAACTTTCTCTCCTAGCTAAACCCTTTCGTCCTGGCCATGGCTGCCTAGCCACCTATCATTTCGTTGACTTCGTCACATGGTAACAGAGCAGGTTGCCATTCCCGGGCCTGCTCCCCACGCTTCCGCCGCGCACTCCTCCTCTCCCTCTCGCGCTGCCATGGTGGCCGTGTCGTGCTGCTGTGGCGGCGTCGTCGTGCCGCCGGCCACGTTGTGCTGCCGTGGCCGTTTCGACGCACTGCCGTGGCGTCGACGTTACGCTGTGGCGGCGTCGTCGACGTCGAGCCGTGGCGGCGTGACGGCGCCGTCGTGCTGCCAGCGCGTGTACAGCACGGTCGACAGCGGCCAGCGCCCCGTTTTAGGCGCCGCCGATCCTGACGCCCGCACGCCAGCCACGGGCGTGATGCTGGACCACGCCCCGTCCCCCCCCCCCCCTCCTTTTCCCCTGCGTCCCCTCCTCCTCGCCACAGCCGTCGCCTGACTCGTGAGGTTCTTCCCCATCATCGCGGAGCTTGGCCACGCCGCCAAGAGGGCGGGCGCCGCTGCCGTCGCCGCTGTCGTCGAAGCCGCCGCCGCCGCCACTGGCCTGTTGCCGCCGCACACCGCCGCCGCTGTCGTCACTGTCGCCACTGCCGCCGTCGCCATCTCCCGGGTCGTGGGGTTGGCCATGCCGGAGTAGTCGTGGCTGGTGCTGGGAATTGGGGGTGCTAGGTTAGGGGGTGTGGGTGTGTGTGAGTTCTTCTACTACCAAGCCTAGGGGGTGTGTTAAGTTATAGATATGTTATATAATTGTAGGCTTGGTATGTGTTACTGAAACTTACTGTAGAGGGTACAACACCTTTCCTTGTATGCCTCTCTCTTCTATTCTATCTCTCTTTTCTCTCGTAACTTTCTCTCCTAGCTAAACCCTTATGTCCCGGCCATGGCTGCCTAGCCGCCTATCATTTTGTTGACATCGTAACACCGTTGTGCTGCCGTGTAGCTGTGGAACCGAGCAGCCGAGCCGCCGTGTCGTCGCGTCGCCGCGCCGCCGTGTCGCTGTGCCGCCGTGCCACTTTACCGTTGTGTCGATGTGCCGCCGTGGTGTCGTGGTGCCATGGAGACGCACCGCCGAGCCGCTGTTTCGCCGTGTCGCTGAGGTCGTGCGATGGTGGACTCTGTGCTCCGCAAAGACGCGGAGGGGCACGCGATCGACTTCAACGCCTAGCTTATCGACCTCCGCCGTCACCTGACACGTTAGCGTCAGGATGGTCATTCTTTAGCTGTAAAAGTCGATGGCTTGCTTCCCCGCCCATCCTTGCCTGATCACCTCCCTACTAACCCCACTACTGCTCAGCATGAGGCCTTTCTGCTGTTGCGCTTGCTCGTACTATCTGGGAGTTGCGCGACGCAGTAGCGCAGCTAGCCATTAGTCACGCACTTCCCCTATCTGAGCGTTCGCGCTTTACTGCTGCCGTGGACACCAAGGAGTTCTTAGATGACGTCGTTGCGCGCTACTCCATGCCCGCCTCTGCCTGTGCTGGCCGCCTGATCCTCCCCATGTTGTTTCCTGACCTCGCCGCCTTCCCCACTGTTGCTGACCTCGCCACTCATCTCCGTGCACTAGAGGCTAGCTACCGCGCCGCCAGCACTGAGGCCCAGCTCATTGCCTTCCCCCAACCGCTCTGTGCTACCCTGTACCTTACTGCCACGCGCCTTCCAGACCGCTTAGCCACTGTCCGCGACCACTTCCTTAGTCAGCACCAAGGTGACCTCACCCTTACCGCCTTTGTCGTCGCCCTGTCCGAGATAGAGACTCGTCAGTGCACCATCATTCAGTCGAGCGGTACTACGGTTGTCCCTATCTTTCAGGGTTGTGCGCCCTACCAATGCACTTATGTTGACGTGTTTGCCGCTGTCACTGAGACAGCCCCTGCTGCTGAGACCGCTGCTGCGGTCTCCGCGCAGTCGCGCCAGCGTCGGGGCCGCCGCCCCAAAGGGGGGCGTGGTGGAGGTAAGGGTGGTGGTGGTGGTGGCCGCGTTGGCGGCCCGCGCAGCTCGGCGTCGGGCGGCAGCTCCGGCGCAAAGGGTTGCCAGTACCAGCTCCAGACCGGCCCCCTCCGCGGCACTGTGTGTGGTCGCCCACACCCTACCGCCCGCTGCTTCCACCGCCTCGACGACCTCTTTCGTCGCTGCTTTGGCCTGGCGTCGGACCTTCCTAACTGGCACAGTCTGCTCTGCCACGGTGTGTCTGTCTTTGAGTTAGACATGGATCATATTTGTTTTACTGTGCATTCCCTGTATGCTGATGCTTCTAGTGTGTCCGGACCTTATTACCCTGTGTTGCCTGGTTTAGGTGTGCCTCCTGTGTGTAGTCCAGACTCCCCTGCTGCGTCAGGCGTAGGACCTTCTGCCTTGTTTAGTCTTGGCTCCACGCTTGCTCCTCCTCCGGCCGTAGCTACCGCTTCTCTTTCCTTTACGCTTGACTCTGGCGCGTCTGCCTGCTTCTTCCGCGACCACACTGCGCTCTCGCCGCTTCCCGCGCCTGCCGATGTTGCGCTTGCTGACCCCTCCTCCGGTCCTATAACAGCCCGTAGCTCCACTACCCTTCCCTGTCCGGCGGTTCCCTCGGGCTCTCTTACAGGCCTGCACATCCCCTCGTTCACCACTACGTTCCCTGGTCACGAGCGGTACGCTGTCTGTACCGAGGCCGCCTCAGGTGCCCCCTTTCCGCATTTCCCCGGTGTCTGGCCTGTTTACGCTAAACACTGTGTCCCCCCGGTGGGAGTGTCCTTCCCGGTTCCTGCGCCTACCCAGGTCGTTGCGGCTTGCTAGTGTCGGCCGCTCACTCACCCGTCGCTTCTGTGGCACCACCGCCTAGGTCACCCCACACTTCTGCGTCTGCATCACATGTCCCAGCATGGTCTTATCTTAGGTCTACCTGCGTCGCTCCCTGCTCTCCCTCCCTCGCCCGCGCCTTCGTGCACGCCTTGCGTTGAGGGCCGGCTCCGTCGTGCCCCTCGCTCCTCCTCGTTTCCTCCCACCACTGCGCCATTGCAGACACTGCACATGGACGTCTGGGGCCCAGCCCCGGTCCCTGGGCCGCATCGCGAGTGCTACTTTCTTGTCCTAGTCGACGACTACACGCGCTATACCACAGTTTTTCCCTTGGAGTGGAAGGCCGACATGCCTGACGTTCTTATCCCGTGGGTCGTAGCTACACGAGTCCATTGTCGTCTCCCTGTCTTGCGTCTCCACTCAGACCGTGGCGGTGAGTTCGACTCTGGACGGCTTGGCATGCTCTGTCGTGTGGAGGACATCACCCAGTCATTCACCCTGCCGAACTCTCCACAGCAGAATAGGGTCGCCGAGCACTGCATCGGCTTGGTCATGGAGGTGGCTCATACCTCCATGATTCATGCCGGTGCACCCCATTTCTATGGTCGTTCGCTGTTCGCTCCGCCAGCCACCATCTTAATCTGTGGCCACTCTCCCAGCGGCCGCAGGTTTCGCCGACCCTCCTCTGGACCGGGTCCCCTGGTGATGCATCTGGATTCTACGTCTGGGGCTGCCTTGCTCGCGTTTGTGCCTCCGGCACGGTTAAGCTCAC